TATGTCCACTGCATATCATTCACTTTATCCATGAACATATGAAGATAATTAGCGATATCGTCTCGTAATTTAAAAACCTCTACATGAATGTCAACTATTTACACGAATTAGAGCAAAGCTTGAGACAAAATCGAATGCTGTTGGAGACAATAATTTCTACTGTCCCTCTGACAACCAGTGACTTGATTTCACAATTATACCCTGTACGATCATTTTATTTACTAGGAGGCTGGTGTGTTATCTGCTGTGAATGCCTGTGACATTTAGGTTTCAACACACTTAAATCTATTACAACTTGCAAAGTCACACTGAAAATTTTATATTCTCACAACATATGATACCATAGACATTCGACCATAATTAACTTGCTTTTCAGGTGATTTTTACTCCACTTTTCATGATACGTTGAAGCACTGAAAACACTTATATTCATATCAACTGACATAACTCTCTCCCTTCATTCTAACACTGATTGGCATATACCATGACAACATATGACAGGGTAGCATTGTAGTCACACATCAAGAAAATTTGATGAAGTCCCACTGATGACCGTCGCTAATGCCAAGAATCTGATGCAAACAAATTGTAGTATCTCTGGGCCTAAAACACCTAGCCGCCAGATCGATTTCTGGAAAAATATATCTTTGATGTTTAAGGTTCGGAAAATTGACACAGTTCAATAATTAACCATGAAGTTTCTGTGGGTGATAAAAGTATTCTGATGGATAAGCCAATTCGACACTCAGTAATATTCATGTAAGTACCTTGTCCAACGGGAAATTTCACTAATGGTATCAGTAGATTTCGAGGAACTGTGGTATGAAATATCATTTTGAGCCTTAGAAGATGTGAGTGTTGTCTACCTTCATTCGTAGACCATGGATTGGCTTGTGAAAGGTGTCATTCGACAATCTTTTTTGGCTATTATTTACCCTAAAGAAGTGGCTTAGATGAGGTCACGAAGCGTAAAAGTATAATTTTTCCACTCGTTAAGATATAACAAAAATATATTGTTGTGCTTAATCAACAGTTGTATCGAAGGCATGTCAGTTATTGTCATGCCTTTAGTTGTAATATTGTTTGCAGTGTCAAAAGCATGATAACTGTGGACAAGAATGTGGTGCGAAATTGCCCATAAGATTGACGAGCAAATATAAAACATCAGAAGTTTTAGTAGTTGATCCCTGCGGTGCACATCAAAGAAAACATAATCAAGACAATGATAACATGCAAAAAATAATGATAAGCTAAAAGTGATTAGAAGAATTCAAATATAAAAACAACAAACTTAATTCCAAGAACAAAGTTATGCATATTAAACGAAAAAAATAATGGCGACTGTTGTGTAGTGAATATTACTTCAAAGTAACTTTTTGAGTAACCGAACAAATGGAGTTCACCCAATCATCGAATATTCTGCTATGAGTCCGACCTGATTTCATGAAGAGAACATACAAAGAAAATAGCGCAAACATGTCATGGGTTTAGTGCCCGACGAACCTGTTTTTCGCAATGCTTTTCTAGTTGAGGACTCCAAAGTCAGTTAAAACAGAATTAAGGAACGAATGGGTCCGAAGATCTGAATAAATCTATGCGACACTATATCTTTACTGACTGTCTAAGAAGTCCACCTTATAATTCCTAATGTGATTCGAAAATTTTCCAGTATTCAACAAACTGGCTAACTACTTTGTAACGTAATATGTTCCAACTCCAGCAATCCTATTCAGCAGTAAAAATGCATTAAATTTTGCCCAAGATATTTGTCATCCAAACAGTTGTAGCTAGACTGTTTTTATTTATATGCAAACACAAAACAAACTTATGATGACATTGAAACATCGTTGTGTTAGACCTGCATGCTTTTCCCTGTCGACGATGGGATGGAATGACATAACTGCAATAAGTGGTATCACGATGTGTGCACCAGGCTCACGCCGGCTGCATATAAACGGTACTGTAAGCCACTATCACGTTGGTCGTGCAAAGAATGTTGTTCTTCAAAGTCTCTGCTGATTCTAGAGGTGATTGAGCAGCTGAACATAGCTAGAAAATTGCCCTTTGATAAACAGGCAGCAGAAGATGAACAGAATTCCGTTTTCGAAAAATTTGAGAGCGTTATCATGAGCCCAGCCCTAGACTTAAACGAGTCCATAAAGGTCATATTATTAAAATTCATGGCTGAGATTGCCTGTTGAACAGTTGTGCCGGCCCGTCCCAACATATGGAAGGCAGATATGGAGGCCATCAACTCCGTAGCGTCGGCTGAAAGCTGGTGAATTGACTCGAAGGCATCAGTACAAGAGACATAAGCTCATTTCAGGCAGTTACACAATCGGGTAACTCAACCATACATAACCTGGACAGTCCCGGGGAAGAAGAAGTACGGCCATCCCTGGATAGGCCGGGTTATTCAACGCTTACTAAGTCAAAAGAAGAAATGTCGGAATTTCGCCATCAGCCTTGGTACAACAGATCTGTAAGAAACACGTGTATAATAAAAATTCGGGAAGCTCCGAGAAAATATGAAATGAATTTGGCACAATCTGCGCTCAAACAGCCCAAGAGAATATTCCCGTACATAAACTACGGGACAAGGATGCATCATCGGATTCCCAACCTAATTAAATAAGGGAGTGAATCTGGAGTGATAGAGGGAACTCAAGATATATCAGAGGCTATGGCTAACTATTTTGGGGCGGTTTTCAATCAGGAACCTCTTCTAGACAAAGAACCAGACCCAAATGCAGAGTCAACAAACCACCTGTTCACTGTGGACTTTGATCAAGACGATGTACTTAAAGTATGGAAAAGTCAGCAGGACCTGATGAACTACACCCCAAAATCTTGAGACATATTGCACAATATATCGCAGCTCCACTGACTATGATATTCAATATGTCACTTGACCAGGGTGTGTTACCTATGGGCTGGAAGGACGCAACCCTCACTCCTATACATGAAACAGGATCAAGACAACTTCCATCGAACTACAGACCTGCCAACCTCACCAGTGTTGTAGTCAAAATATTGGAAAGAATAGTCAAACAGACCATAATGACGTTTGTGGAAACCTATAGCTTATTAATCAACGAACAATATGGTTTCAGAAAGGATTTATCTTGTACAGCGAACCTTTTTATAGCAAGGTAATGCTGAATGAAGGCGCTAGACAATAGAAGATCAGTGGATGCTGTCTACATAGTCTTCATTAAGGCATTTGACAAGGTGCCAACCAATAGTCTGCTATTGAACTTGGAAAATCTTAGTATTGCCGGACCTCGTTTAAAATGGCTCGAGGATTTCCTAGTAGGTTGTAGACAGAAGGTACGAATAAATTCCTAGTGCCCCACATGTAGACCAGTAAGTAGTGGAGTACATCAATGTTCTGTCCTAGGTCCTTTACTTTTTAAACTGTATGTAAATGATTTCACAAGTATAGTAAAGTCCCAAATGTTGTTACATGCCGACGATGTAAAAATCTGAGGAGTAATAACGGGAGACGCAGATGAATGTACACTTCAGGCATACATAAATATTGTGATTAACTGGTATAAAGGGTGGCTTATGACTATCAACACAGCAAAGTGTGTGTACATGCACTTTGGAGATACAAACGTTAATAGGTACAATGTAGCGGAAGTGCCTGTACCCGTGGTCCGGTCTCACGAGGATCTTGGGGTGACAGCGGCTCATGACCATAAGATGACAGCCCATTGCCGGGAGGTCGCAGCTAAGGGGTTTAGAACCCTCTGAGCTTGAAAACGGACATTCACTAAGTTAGGTACCACCATGTTCACTACAATTTACACAACTTTAGTGAGAACTAAAATTGAGGACCGCGTTCAGGCTGCGAGCCCCTGTTTAAAAGGTGACTCGGATATCCTGGAAAATGTATAGAAAGCAGCTGCCAGCGCTATCCCAGGACTCCGCAGTTTACCATAAAAAGAGTGGCTTGAAAAGCTAGACCTCTTTACTCCGTCCTATAGAAAACTAAGGGAAGATCTAACTTTGATGTATAGAATACAAAGAAATGATTTTGGACCGGAAATATTCTCTCTTTTTCTTCCCACCAGATCGGGATATCTCAGAGGACATAGTAGGCGAGCAGAAAAGCCAGGAACAAAAAACTACCATTGGCATACGTGTTTTCACACCGAGTCATCAATACTTGCACCTTCAAATGACTCATTGAAGAGAAGACTGGATACTCACAGAAGCATACTAGGAAAGGAATAACACTGGCCATAGGCTTTCTGCCCATAATATACAAATCTGAATCTGAACTCTGGATCAGACAGTTTACGATTAATGACACGAAATGACTGGAACCGTCTCTTAACACCAAGAGTTAAGATAGAAATAGCTGATTGGTTTATGCTTGCGAATTGTAGGTACATTGAATACGAATTGTTTAACCAAAGCACACAGTCGATTAAAATTACTCGGTGGTAATACAAATAGCATGGAAAGTGTGTTAAATGAACTTCGGGAGTTAGGTGAGCAATTCGCAACTCATGTCCAGCGTGTAAAGCTTCTAAAAAATGAAGAAGATGTTAGTTCCCTTAAAAAGGCGATATCCAGCCTAGAGAATGATCTTAAACAACTCCGAATGTCCTATGAATGCCAGATAAATCACTTGAGTACTACTCTAAATATTGTACTGGACGAAAAAAGAGACTTGGAGAATGAAATTCTAGTAAGGAAAGAAAATGACGCTCATTTTTTGGATAGGTTCAGTTTTTTACGATTGGTATGTATTTTGCAGGATTTCAGTGGAATCGTCTAAAAATGCTAAACTTCTTCTGGAGATAAGTCATCTTAAAACTGACGTTGCCGAAAAAACTAATCAGATTACAGCGCTGAAAATGCATGTACAAGAGTTGGAGACACATGGGGAAGAGAAAGAGAACGTGAAATTGAAACTTACTGAGGAGATAAATTTTCTAAAGCAAAAGTACTATTCTTTAATATTTATGTAGAATTAAAGACTATCAATGTCTGAAGATTTATACACTGAGACTGCTAACCAGCTTCAAAGTGCATTGATGACATTAAATTCTCAAAAACTGTTTGCGAAGGAGGTGAGTTATCTCCCGTTTGTTGTATTCTCCAATTTTCCAGTTTTGTATTTTTTTCTAAAACAAAATATTCTTGTTTTGTAGCGTCTTAGTCGCAGTCAAAACAGAATACAATGGTATATCTCTCAGTTCGCCGCAAAAGATTTCCAAGTTGAAGAATCTCGCAGAAAGGAAGCTTCGATTTCTACTGCCATCTCTCAACTGCGTGCCAAAGCCCAGGAGGAACTTATTCAGTACCGTCAGCAAGCTGCAGACATCTACAAAAAACCAGTAGGCTCTAGTTGATATTTTTATACCCTAGATTAACTCTTACTTTTACATAACTTTTAAAATAACTTGCCTGTTGCCTTTGTAGATAGCTACTTTGCAAAGTCAGTTGGTTTCGGAGAGAAGAGAAAATCGATTTTTGAAGACTAAATGTCTGAAGAATGATCAAACAATTCTTAACTTGCAGCGGCAAATTGCTGAATTGAATTCTAAAGTTTGTTGTTCAAAATACCTTTAATTTCTTAGGTTTACAGCACTGAACATCAAACTGAACTTTTGAAGAATGCTTTGGAAAGTTTGGGGAAGGAGCATAATCGCTTAAGAAGTACCTATGAGGATAAGATTCAGAGACTGGAGGCTTCTATAACTTCTAGTGCCGTTGACTTTGATTTAATGCGAAGTAAAGAGAATGAAGTTATGAAGGAATTATCAAAATTTAAAAGCATGTTGAATTTAGACGAAGAGAGTCTCCAAACACGGATATATAACGAACAAATTAATCAAGTTATTGGGGAACTGGATGATGATGAGAATTTTCAGCGTTTGGAAAATGACAAAAAGTGAGATATTTGTGTTAAACGTGGTCTTCTTCCATATTCTGACACCTCCCAATACGCAAGTTATTTTACCCAAGTAAATAAAGGAAACGTTTAGTGTTCTGTTTCGTTTTAAAGAAATTACTTGATGTATTATCAATAAGTAACCCTTTTTTATGATTTGATAGATTTGTTAATTCAAGATCTTAAACACTAGTAATATATTTGAACTTTCGTGTTTTATGGAGCTGTAGACCCAATAAGTAATTACTGTAGCTAACTGACTCTCAACAAGTAGATCATAGTTATGAAACATGTTTTTTTATATTAATGTCATAAAAGGCAGTTAGGGATAATCCTTACGTTTTGTGGTATATTCATTTGTTTTCTCTGGATAGAAACTTAGTCGGCCCTATCATAACTGGAGTAAAATACAAACATTATACTACATGCAGCAAAAAAAGGGGTGCTCTCATTGTTTGCACATCTTGCTCCTGCGTTCGATCTTCAATCACTTTATGTAGACAGCCGGGAATATATATGTCTCTAGTGGAATTGTTTATCTTCTTAGGGTCTTTTCTTTAAACTCAAATTTAGCCAAATCATTTGGTCATTAGTATTCTCAGTCTTTGAAAGCACTCTAATACAAAAAACTTAAGTTTGAAAAAATTACGTTAGGGATTTTGCTACTTAGTATTAATCTCAGTTAATTCAAACAAATTTAAAAGCTTTTGTTTTTCAGAATCGAATTTGACAGAACATATGAACCAAGAGCTATCTCACATACGGATTGTGCCGTTCCATCAAAAGGTATTCATTCTTTTGTGATGGCATCAAATGATGATCTCCGCGACACTCTTCAGAACATTGATGTTGAGTTACAAAACTGTGATCAAGTAAACATTGACATGAAGAAGTTTGGTCTAAGTTCTTCCAAAAATGCAATCATGGATACAAAAACCAATGCCTCAGTACCTGGTAGTTCAAATTCATCGATGTGTTTATCAGGATCCAAGTAAGAGTTTTTATTTTAGATACTCATTCACAAACAATTAATATTTGGATACAAAGATGAGTGATGGCTAGCAGTGGAATCCAGGAAGCGTGTTTCAGTTCCAGTCCTAAACATCAATGGGACGATTCAAACAACCAATGTAAAAATGAATTAAACTTTACCCCACTGCACAAGCCAGTGGCTTTCCGGAGTCATTAGCTAAGTAGAAAACGCGGTAGTGTTTACAACGAACGGTGAACACCAACTCTGATGTGTAAATGCATTCAGCTGACGAGCCCCAAATAGGACGAAACGCGCGTCCTAGATTCCACTGCTAGTGAACATCTGTATTTGCTTATAACGCTTGCGATTTATGGCAATGTCGAATCATATGCACAAGGTGCACATATACCAATAAGAGACTGATCCATTGCAGTTCTGAACATCAATAGAAAGATGAATTACTGTTTGGATGATTGATGGACGACTTGTTTTTCAAACTCTAACTATCAGTACCGCATGATTCGCAACTAAACGTTGTCGTTATTCGTATCCAATATAATTTTGAATCTAAACAATTTGTTTTACAGTTTTATCTTTTCAGAATTTGAAATATAGTTTTCAGCGTAAGAGCTAGTTTTAAGCAATTAGTCTTTTTTAAAGTTTCGATTAAATAAAGATAAAACGTAGTTGATTTGAAAAATGTGATATATTTACTCTATAAATTTCAAACAATCTAGTGATTCATATACGTTTTAAGTCATTTTGTATGGAAATTAATCAACGTTAGACAAAAGTTCAAATGAAAAGGAGTAACTAAACAAAGGACGAGAAAATCAACTGTTTAATGACGATAATGATTTCGAAATGTTGCTGAATATACTCTATTGTTAAAAGTCAAAGATCATAGTGTTTTAGCAATACTTACAAGACAATTCATATATTTAAATATTCAGACCATTGAAAAAATTTGATACTGACTATTAAGAACGTTCAAAAATCTTTAATGTCATTTTCAAGATATTTTGTGTTACACTTCTGAATTACACTAGTTAACTATCAGAGATGTAATGAAGAATAATTATAAGCTAAGTTTTTGATTTTTCAGTAGTTGAGATTGTGAGTCGGTTGAAGCTAGACCACCATGGAAAAGCTGGAAGCACTGGATGGCCGTTTCATCCTATTGTGCGACTACCCAATAGTGCGGATCTACGATCCCACCCCGCGAGATTCGAACTCGGGGCCTATCGGTCTCATGCGAGAACGCTTTACCTCTAAACCACTGAGCACACTGGCATCCAACTGTGTTAATGTTTAACTTTAAGTAGTCCACAGAATTGAGCCACTGTCCACAATTGTGTTTAGTGAGTTACTGTCTCACAACAGACCCGTTTGAACCCCACTGGCTACTGCTTCTTTTTCTTGTTATCACAATTACATGTGTTCAAAACTGTGAAATAAAATAAATTTCCTATAGGGATAAGAATAACTTTGTCAATAAAGGTAGATAAATTTAATATGATAACTAAACTTGAAACATTATGTGAAACAAAACAAACAATCAATTAACGTAACACATGAACTTTTACATGAAACTACATTTTTAACAGTTGAATTCATGAATCAATCTAAACTAGACCATTGAAAACCTGTAAGCACTGGACGTCCATTTCGTCCTAGTATAGGACTCCTCATCAGTACTCATTCACAATCATGCACATGCAAACGCTTCACTTCTAAACCCCTGAATCGATATTCAATAGTGTTAACGTCTTACTTCAACCAATTCATGACTTGAATTTTGTTATTATGTTAAAGTTCTTCATAGAAAATTTATTTCAACTTCTTGATTCAGGGTTAAATTAATGAAGATATTATTAAATTCAAATTGATATATACATAAGACCTCTGTATGAGAACTGTTATCATTCTAATTATTATGTTTACAATATAACAGCTTAAGTTAGATGTTTTTCCTGTAGTGACTTAATATATCTGTATTCCTATTTCACTTTGTCCTCTTTTTTTTGTTATTACAATTTTCTCCAAAAACAAACAATCAAACAGTAAGGGTAATCAGCACTTTTCTGTTCTTTAACAAAAAATAATATTCGTTTCTTATCGAATAATAATCAATATTGATTGAATTATTTTTGTTAAATGAGGACAAATTTTTTTTTATTTATTGCTAACAAAGTATATTAAATCTTTCCTCTTGTAATTGACATGGTAGCAATTGTGAATGAAGCTATTTAAGTTCACTAATCACGTGAATAAAAGAATAATAATCCAGTTATTTTATATTTGTTAACCATTATCATATTTTCGAGTGTCATATTGATCTTTCTACCAAATTTAAAGTTTTTTTTTAAGATTGAAACTAATAACATAGCCCCCTGAATGTTCTGGTACGGTCGAAGGTAGAGAAAGTCAACTTTACCTCTCCAAATGATCTTACATGGTTATGTGTATATGGTTTTAGCCTTCTGGCGGTAGCGTTGTTGTTAACAAAATTGTGAGGGTGAAAAGTAAATGTCCAGTGCTTTATCCGGGTTGGTGGATATGAAAAAACCATCTGGGGGAGCTGGAAAACCCTGATTTCAAAGCAATGGTGCACATGGGCCCCAGAATCCTGAGGGAAAAATGGCTTATAAATCGATTGTTGACCACTGACTACTATGCGACTGTATCTTCTCACGTTGATCCACCACCATGTGGATTAGACCTTTTGTTCAATAGCTCCGTGTGTAGCCTCCTAAGAAAACCACCTGCTTCGCTCTGGGCACCCTGGCAGTACCTCAGCCCTCACACATGTCGAATGATTTATGTGACGCATATCTATTTGGTGCCTCCTTGTACGAATGTTTGTGTGTTTAAATAAATAATAATAAATACCTCATTAACACAACAAGATGAACACCAAATTCATAGTTTTTACTTCAACGACAGTAATATATAAAAGAAAGATTGTTTATAAGAATATAATACAGGAAGAAAGAATTAGTTCGTAGAAAGATATGAAGCGATTTTAATCTCACGGTTTAAGAGAAGACAGGCAGTGTATACACCTACACCATTGTGATCGATTCTGAGCCATGTCACACAGTCTCCAAACGAGTAGTCTGCATCTACCAAAATGGCTGAGACCAGAAGTTAGTGACTTCAAGCACTGATGCCACGTTTTGACTTGACCGCGCCTAACTTTCTTCCAACCATCCCGAACACCGGTTAACATTGCACGTCGTAGTAATCGGTGTTGAGGCATACGTAACACGTGGCTCAACCATCTTAGTTGGTGAAGATTTACAACCTGATCGACTGATTTACCATCAATCCCTAATACTCTGTGTCTAAGCACACTATTACTTACTCGGTGATCCCAGTAGATACGAGCAGTATTTCTGTTTGTTCGTTTGTTTAAAACACATATACATTGGTATAACGCAGCACCAAATAGATATGCGCCACATAAATTGTTTGATTTATTTGAGGGCCGGGATACTGCCCGGGTACCCAGACCGAATCAGGTAGCAATATTTGTAAGACATCTGTGACCAAATACCGGTATCTCATGAGTATCTTTTACTTATAATGGCCACATTTCGCAGCCGTAAATTAGAACAAAACAAACTGCTGCAGAATATACTCGTCGCTTAATTGATAAATGGATATCTCGCCATAGGTGAAATAATTTGGCAAAAGCCCAAACGAATTTTCTGAATCTGTGCAAAGATTTCTTAAAGTCAAAATATCTTTTAAAGTATGAAGTTAAAGACAGTTTGTATTACGACATAGAATTATTTTCCAACATCTTTGAAATGTAAAAAAACGATTGATAAGTTCTTCATATTAATTAAATATCAAAAAAGAAAAAACCTTTATCAGAAGGGATTTTGTAGAGATTTTGGTAATTTTAGAGTTGGATTCATGAGTCAATTGAAGCTACACAACCATGGAAAACCTCACAAAACCCTTTCTGATATTATTCAACATATGCTCACTAATGACTGGCTTCAAGAGGTATTTCCTGGAGTTATAGTGAGAAGCAGTGACCACTGGAGTTCAAGTGGGTCTGTTGTGAGATAGTAACTCACTGAACACAATGGTAGACAGTGACTCAACTTCGTGGATTGGTTGAAGTTGAACATTAACACGATTGGATGCCGGCTTAGTGATCTAGAGGTTAAGCGTTCGTGTGCGAGACCGACAGACCCTGGGTTCATATCCAACGGGGCAACATCGTGGATGCGCACTACTGAGGAGTCCCACAATAGGATGAAATGGTCGTCTAGTGATTCCAGGTTTTTCATGTTGGTCTAGCTTTAATTGACTCAAGAATTCAACCATAAAATAAACTAATTATTTTCTTTTTTTTTACATGAAGTGCTATTGGATACTTACAAATTTGTGAAATTGATCCCAATGGTGAGTATTTACTTCTATGGAATTCAAGTACAAACAAGGTAAATTTATTCAACAAATATAATATAAGGAGAAAGAACTTAATTTATTGGAATATGAGTTATATGAAAGATCAATTTTTTTCTAAGTATTCATGACAGTTAATCAGACTTTGGGGGGGATTTATTTCGTAATTGAGTAACTTAATTATATCTATTGGTCATAATCGTTTAATGTGCTTATACAGTTGTTATAATTCTCTCTCTTCTTACGGTTAATGACCCAGCTATTCCTATTGCTTAGTATTCTCGGACACCGATTCACTCGACAAGTCCCCAAATCAGAACACGGTTGAACAGAAAAAAGATTATATTCCAAATAGCAAGTCAGAAGCCAGTAGGAAGCACAACAGGGGAAAACGTCAGTATATTTATAGTTTTTGCATAAGAAGATTCCAGAGTATTCTCCGACTATTGACTAGTGCTGATTGGATAAGAATTAGCCAATCAGCGTGCACCAAAGCAATCATGCATTGAGCATGCTTTAATCTAGTCTATGTCCCGCTAACAACAGTAAATTTGGTTTATATGGTGATTTACTCCTTGATTAATGTCAGTGAGTCGCTCTAAGCTTACTTACTTACGTACGCCTGTTACTGCTCGTGGAGGAGCATAGGCCACTCACCAGCACTCTCCATCCAACCTTGTGTGTTGTTCATCATTTTCATATCTGATTCTACTTCCCGACGTAATGTGTTTTTTGAACTTTCTCTTTTCCGCTTCCCTTCAGAATTCCAAGTTAGGGCTAGCCTCGTGGCGCAGTTTGATGATTTGCGTAGTGTATGTTCTATCCACTTCCATCGTTTTTTCCTAATTTCCTCTTCAGCTGGAAATGGATTTGTTCTCCCTCAGAGAAGGCTGTTGCTGATGGTGTCTGGTCAATGAATGTTGAGTATCTTGCGTAGACAATTATTTAAAAATACTTGTACCTCCTTGATGATGGTTGTGGTAGTTCTCCAAGTTTCAGCTCCGTACAGTAGAACTGTCTTGACGTTCGCATTGAAGATTTTGACTTTGATATTGGTTGACAGTTGTTTTGAATTGCATATGTTCTTCAATTGTAGGAATGCTATCTTTGCTTCCCCAATCATCGCCTTTACGTCTGCATTCGATCCTCCTTGTTCATCAATGATACTTCCTAGGTATGTGAAGGAGTCGATCTAAACTAGACCATTGAAAACCTGTAAACACCGGATGTCCATTTTTTTCTAGTAGGGTACTCCTCAACAATATGCATCCACAATCCCACACACGGAACTCGAGCTTGAATTGACTAATGAATTTAATCTCCAGAAATCTTCATTCTGATAATTATTACGTTATCTAAAAACTGACTATTAATCTATGTAAATAAATCACTCAAAATTTAGTGTATCCAGACATTATTTTGGTTTATTTTTGATGCATAATAAGTCCTTACCCTTCGTCTTCATGTTTTAAATAACATTTTGCAATTCACAGTTTCTGGTAATAAGTACCAGCTCTCAGCCGCTATCACACAGAACAATATGGTGTATTGGCTAAGTTAATGAGTCACAACTAAGGATTAGAACTAAATGGTATTATTTTAGTTTGAAAATTTAAAAGATACACTGATTTTGGTGTATTCATTCCTCTCAATACTATCTGATCAAAACATAGAGCTAGGTCTCACTACAAAGAAATATTAAAAACCAGAAGGTACTGGAGAACTTTTTGACCCTAGTTTTGGAGGGCTTTTACATAAGCCATCACTTATAAAGAATATGTCTATATTGAACAGTATTATCGAGATTACTTTAATTCGTGATGATTTTCTCACTGGTAATATAACTTCAAGATGAGTTCCTAAAATTATTTTGGGAAATCATAACCAGAAGAGTTCAACCATATGAAGAAAAAGACTGTTATTTCTAATCATATTAGGTTGTTTATTTGTCATTCTCATGAATTATCTGAAGTTCAAAATGTGTGCAGTAGAATTAAAAATCAATGTTTCAAAGACAACACTTACTGCGCGACATGAAATTCCTGGTCTCCATCCCTGACGATTGCTATAGTCTTTCGCTGTTGATGAGTCACTTAGTTGAGTTACTACATTCGCTAACCTTATTGATCGTATATACCTAGTACATATTAGCCAATCATTCACACATTCGTATAATACTCAAGAAGATTATTACCATTAAAAACACAACTTCAGTAGTTCGGTTACTTTATATTGGTATACACATCGAGTACGTAGTTGAACGAAATTACAAATTGAGGTCAAGCCAATAAAGATTATGTAATAACAGTTGTTTAGTATACTTTGCCTCTGCATCAGTAAGCCTCAATATTCACAAAGGAAAAACCAAGATCCTCAAATACAACACGGTGAACACTAACCTAATCACACTTAATGGTGAAACTCCGGAAGATGTGGTAACCTTCACATACCTAGGAAGCATCATTGATGAACAAGGAGGATCGAATGCAGACGTAAAGGCGATGATTGGGGAAGCAAAGATAGCATTCCTACAATTGAAGAACATATGCAATTCAAAACAACTGTCAACCAATATCAAAGTCAAAATCTTCAATGCGAACGTCAAGACAGTTCTACTGTACGGAGCTGAAACTTGGAGAACTATCACAACCATCATCAAGGAGATACAAGTATTTATAAATAACTGTCTACGCAAGATACTCAACATTCATTGACCAGACACCATCAGCAACAGCCTTCTCTGAGGGAGAACAAATCCGTTTCCAGCTGAAGAGGAAATTAGGAAAAAACGATGGAAGTGGATAGAACATACACTACGCAAATCATCAAACTGCACCACGAGGCTAGCCCTAACTTGGAATTCTGAAGGGAAGCGGAAAAGAGAAAGTTCAAAGAACACATTACGTCGGGAAGTAGAATCAGATATGAAAATGATGAACAACACACAAGGTTGGATGGAGAGTGCTGGTGAGTGGCCTATGCTCCTCCACGAGCAGTAACAGGCGTATCAGTATCAAATCCTTTTTTTAGAAATACTCCATAGTTCTCCTTTGTTTTAAGTGATTGTCTAGTTCGAGTCAATCCATGATGTTAACTTTAAAATTCAATAATCTCTACAAAGCATTTAATATTGAAAATAATGATGTTATTGTAGTGTGGCATCGAGTCGCGTTTGACTATGATAACCACTACAGGAAAACTACGTGCCAGTTAACCGATAAGATCCCTTGTAGGCCAAATATCAGAAGGCATTTGATGGCTTTAGTCGAGATGTATTTGTTAGCGTTCCCGTGGTATCGAAAGAATACCGAGATCGTGCCAGTTTATAAGTGTGGTTACTGAGCGTGACCGAATTCATGCAAGGTCACAATCAACGGAAGAATGTATGTATTTTGGTACAGTTAAACAAACAAGTACAGTAAAACAATCCCTGATACCATTGGTTATAATAATTGTTTCCATTACACTAATCGCGTTCTCTTGATAAAAGTAGGTCACTAAAATATAATTGTTAGTGACTAATTTCGAGGAGTAATTCCTAGAGGTTTAGTGGAAATCTGTAACCACTGGGAGCAAATTGATCACTGACATTATTAAATAGTGGTTGCATAAATTACAGATTGACGTCAGTCAGTCAGTCAGTAACAACGTAGAACTTCGTACGTACGTACATCAGTTCGAGTTGCCACACCACATTAGCACAGAGATGCACTTGTCGATTCAAATCCCGTAGTGGTAGATGTAATAAGAGTATAAGCAGTAATCGGGAAGATTAGGGTTTGGAGATGTTATTTAAAGAGTATAATCCAGTGAAATAAATTTGGAAAGAGGAAAAAAGGGACATGAAGAATTCAGAAGATTAGAATTTGGGAGAACACAGAGAGTGGATGCACCTGCGCCATTGCAAACGATTTTGAGCCATGTCATTCAGGGTCTCTAACCATCGGTTGCTATCATCTCGCGGTCCCCAACCAGGTAGTCTACACCTACCAACATGACTCAGTTCACTTGTCAGTGACTTCATGGACTTGTGCCATGTTTTGGTTTGGCCGCCCCTAGCTTTCTTCCAACCTACTCATATACCACTGAACATCGCACGTCGAGGCAGTCGGTCGTTGAGTATACGTAACACGTGTCCCAGCCACCTCAACTGATGAAGTTTCTCTACCTCATCAATTGATTTGCCATCCTTACGTAGTACCCGTTTCCTAACAACTGCATTACTTACTCGATGGTCCCAGGATATACGAGCAATATTTCGAAGACACCTATGATCAAATACTAGTAAACTACGGATATCCTCTACTCTTACCGGCCATGTTTCACTGCCATAAAGTAGGACGGAACGAACTGCTGCGCAGTGAACACGTCCTTTGGTTGATAGACAGATATCTCACCTACGCCATAAATGACGCAAGTTGGCAAAAGCTAGTCGAGCCTTCTGTATCCGTGCTGAGATTTCATCACACACCAGACCACAAGGGCTGATGAGACTTCCAAGATAAGTGAAGCGGTCGACACACTCAACTACTTCACTCCCTATCACTAGTTCGGGTGTCGATGTAACCCAATCCTGAAGCAACATTTTGCATTTCGAGGGGGAGAATCGCATCCCGAACATGCTTGCATTGTTGCTTAGAGTGATCAGAAGACTCTGCATTTTTTCAGCATCTTCACCAAATAAAACTATGTCATCTCTGCATATTCTAAGTCAGATTGACGTAAGTTAGGAATGTCAGTCATCTGATGGTTAAGCGCTTGTTGTATCTTGTATTTTGACTTCACAAAAGAACAATTTCATGTGTTGTTATGTAAATGACCCATCTTCGTCAATTGATATTTATTTGAACTTTAACTCCAAATCTATTTGATCGTACGTTGTTTACAAAAACGATTACTTAATTTGGTTTGCTCTATACTAAATTAACAGTGAACTCAACTGTGGTCATTTATCTCCTTTCAGGAAACAGATAACTTTTCCTTCGTTTGGTTTTCTAAAATTGACCTAATTTGCATATAATATGAAGTTGTTTACTTCGAAGTGCAACATAGTAGCAGGTTGTAGTAATATATACATGGAAAGTTCGAAACAAGACATTTTATTCCATCAAGTTATAAGCACTTGGTTTAAGCTGTGTTGGTATGTGCAGTCCTTTTGATTGGGGCTGAAGTGATACTTATTATCAGTGATGGGATATGTCGTGTGACATGGTGGGAAATTTGTTGCGGTGATATTGTTTCATTCATTTTCTAGCCTCCTTTAAATGTTAATTTGTACACCATTGTTGTTCTTGTAATTTTTAAGTTCATTGATTTCATTCTGACCGTTTTGCTCATGTTCAGATTTTCACTCCGGTTGAAATCAATTCTTATTCTTTGATTCTTGTTTTGATAATTCCCTTCCTCTCTGTAGTTATGTGTAGTCAATTAGTAGTATGTAGTCTACATTTATTTTTTTAAAAAAAACGATAAGTTCAGTGGTCAATGGACCGCTTTCACGTCCTTGTTTAGCTATTTCTGCTTTGTTTCAACTTAATCATATACTGAACAACATCGCCATTTGAAGTAAGAGATGGTGGGCAATACATAGTACATGTTGCAACCAACTCAGATGATAGAGATTCACTAGCTTGTCAATGGACTTACAATATTTACATTGTGTCAGTTTCGAACTTCAACATTACTCACTCCATAGTCTAAAACTACACGAGCCGTGCGTCGAATACACCTATGATCAAATACTAATAACTTGTGAATATCATCGATTCTCAATGGTCATGTTTCACACAAAACAAACTACTGCACAATAAACTCATTCCTTGATTAGTAAACAGATATCTCACTGACGCTACAAATAATCCAAACCAGCAAAGATCAATTGAACTTTCGGAATTTGTGTTGAGACTTTGTAAGACCCCAGCCTATCAAGACTAATGAGACTCAAGATAAGTGGAGCCGTTGACGCAAACTAGTTTCATTCCTTATTATTAACTCAATCTGATTATACTTGATCATTTGTCTAATGGTTTGTTGGTAAAGGTTCACAAGTCGATGTATTCTACAAGTTTATCATAATTAAATACTTTAATATAATCTGAATACAATAGTTGGAATCATGAGTCAATTAAAGCTAGACCATCATAGAAAACCTGGAAGCACTGGACGGCCGTTTTTTCCTAGTATAGAGCTCCTCAGAAGTGCGCATCCACGATCCCGCCTCGCGAGATTCGAACCCGGGGCCTATCAGTCTCACACGAGCGCTACTTAGGAGTCCCATACTAGGACGAAACGGCCGTCCAGTGCCTCCAGGTTTTCCATGGTGGTTTAGCTTTAATAGACTCATGATCTTAACCATTAAAGTTACTAAAATCTTCTTAAAACCCCTTCTGATATTCTGATTCGTAACCAAATCCGTATTTACTTGTTAATTAGTTTATTTATTTATACCTAAAGGAAATTGATATTGGATTACATAAAGTTTGTCAAAAACATATTCAAGAGAAAATTAATGAATATACATTTCCAGCTGATGTTCGAATGTCACCACGAACTGTATTTACTTTATGGTCGAATAATGCCATTATACCAAAGAATATTCATAATACAAAAAATGTATTCCGATGTCCAAATATTTGTAAATGGTTCAATGGTCCAAATTATATAACTATGGTATCAAATTCTCGTGATGAGGTATTTATTATTGTTTCTTATCTCAACACTTTATTTTTATTTTTTCATTTTTAACGTTTACTGTTATTTAAACTATACTTTCCTCCTCAATTGTTAATTATCAGTATAGGGGTTGTGGAGATTATTAAGTTTTTGATTGAGATCATGAACCGATTGATGTTAGACCACTGTTGAAAACCTGGAAGAACTGGACGGCCGTTTCGTTCTATTGTGTGACTCCTCAGTAGTGCGCATCCACAATCCCGCTCGTGGCATTCGAACCCAGGGCCTTCAGTCTCGCGCGCGAATGCTTAACCACCAGATCACTGAGTCGGCATCCAATGGTGTTGGTGTCTAACATCAACCAATCCACGGAATTGCGCGACCATCTTCCATTGTACTGAAGTAGATGCCTGTCTCTACCCGACACGGACTAGCTCCATTGGTCACGGCTTCTCACTAGAACTCCGAGAATTCCCTCACGAAGCTAGTCACTAGTAAGCACATCTTTCAATGTTGATTTGCTACCTTGTAGATTAGATCTCTAGATGAAAGGCTCCGAGTGTGTCTCCCTAGGAAAACCACTTGCTTCTGTTTGGGTGCCTGATCAGTGTTCCAGCCCTCACGCAGATCGGATGGCGAAGTGTGGTGCATATATATTTGGTGCCTCCTTGTACCTATGTTTATGTGTCCAAATAAATAAATAAACTTCGTTATAATCTAGTCTGTTCATTCCTACTAGTAGCATTAAAACCTCTAGTGTTCTAGTGATCATTTTGAAGAACCTATAATTTGTTGGGGGAATATAAGACACAGTTCCAAGAATGATATTATTTACATAAAATATGGTTTATAAACAGATTGAATGCAACGCGTACGTCCTTTCAGTTAGTTTCTCAGTGCAATTTAATACTGGTATTTAGGTTTCATAAATGTATCATGAAATGCCAGTTTTACTGAATTCTTCAGGACCGATCATTATACGGAAAATATTTTACATCAAGGATTAATATCTATTGGAGAACCAGTCAAATTCAGTGTACACTGATTGACTATTTTGTCTGGTGTCATGACCAGCCAGTTGTAGTCAATTTAGATTCTGTTATGTGCTTATTGGTTCAAGTTGCTCCATAAAATCAGCAAAGAGAGATAAAATTCACAAGATGAATGCTTAGATATTAATGATAGCAAACAACATAAGGGATGCAAAATACATTTGAGAAGAATGAATGAGTTTGATAAAGAAACAGTGTACAGTAATTTTCCACTTAGGGAAGGACATAATTAAATACTTATGCAACACTATGACTGATTCTGAGCCATATCACTCACTGTTCTCAGCCAGTCGTCACGACAATTGCTCAGACTGCAACCAGATAATGAGTATCTAACAACACGGCTCAGTTCAACAGCAAACGACTTCATAGACTAATGTCATGTCTAGCTTTCATTCAACCTACTCATATACTTAAGTAAGCAGTTGTCAAGCCTACTTAAAACATATGTTCCAATCACTTCAATGGTTGATATTCCACTACTTCACCTTTATTTATTATTCTGTGTCTAACATCAATATTGCTTACTCAGCAGTCAGATACTAGTTTTATAACGATTTTCTCTACTTATAAGACTGCTCTCCGCAATTATAAACTGTTGTACAGTATACCCGTTCCTTGGTTGGTAGACGGGCATTTTGCTTAGGTTACAAGAAATGCAAGTTGTGAAAAGTCAAATTAAATTTCTTCAGATACCAAACCACCAAGGCTAATGATATTTTCAAGACGAGTGGTCAACCCGCTCAAATACTTCAGTCACTATGACCAAACTACACATAGAACGAGATCAGCCCTGACGAAACATCTTACGTTTAGGAGAATGGAAATATGCTGGGATTGTTGATCAAGAAAACCAGGTGACTTTATTTTTCCACTGTCTTCACCAAGTACAACTATATCGTTTTCGAACTCTAGGCTAATATGTGAATCTCATGATAAAAGACCAGATATGGATAAGCGATATAAAGAATGTCTTGTCTTTAAAATAAAGTCTGTGGTAAAGTTAAATGAAAGCGGGATTATTAAGCAGTCATGATGAACACCGCTTAAAGTTGCCGATTCTGATTAAATTTGGCCATAAACTCTGACGTGGTCAACAATGTTCAAGTTATAGTAGGAAATGATGACATCTGTAGTTAACCCATGGAAAAATTACTCAGTTATTAACTGATCACATCGGAAAAAGATCTGATTGTATCTCAAATTGGCAACTTATAGGTTCGAACAACTTCTACTTCATTGGTTTACTAGTCCCAGGCTAATTAAAAGATCTAGAGATTTTATATCAGATTATTATGTCTCAGAACTACAATAATACAAATTTCTAGTAGTTCCTCATTTTTAAAGTTCTCCGGCTGACTAAATGGTCCCTACAAATCGTATGATTAGTTACTCCTGCATACAATTGAGTAGAATAAAACGTAAATTAAAGTTGGTTTAAAGTAGTTTGTCATGTAAGAACTCAAAATTTCGATACATTGAACACCATACTTGTAACAAGTGAATAACTTATCAGCACCTAATCATTACACGCAACATGCAATAATGGTCAATCTATTACTTACATACGCTTGTTCCCTTCGTGGAGAAGAGCATAGGCCGCTCATCAGCATTCTCCATCCAACTCTATCTTGGACAATCCTTTCCAGTTGCTATTCATCCTTTTCATGTTTACATCCAATTAACAAGAGTTATTAATAATACCTTGTTAAAAATAAATGATAAACACAAATTTAAGTCAGTAAGCAGTAAATAGAATGAATATGTAGTAAAGAATTGTTTGAATTAAAATGAGTCAAAAAAATGAACTGAATCGAAGATTTAATCAGGTATTCAGTTAATAACGCGGAAACCAGACAAAATAAGACAATAGGAAAAATAAACTTTTTTAATATGTTGAAGAAAAGTTTGAAAGATCATTTGATCATAAAGAAAGAAATTGTACGAACTTCAATATGAACGTCAAGTAAGTTCTGCTGTATGAATCTGAAACTTGGAGAACTACTACAACCATAATAAAAAAAATACAAATATTTATTAACACACAAGATACTCAATATCTGTTAGTTGGTTACCATCATCAACAACTTACTGTGGGAGAGGACAAACCAGCTTCCATCTGAAAAAGAAATTAGGAAAAGACGTTGGAAAAGAATAGGACCTACATTATAGAAACCATAAGCCCTAACTTAGAATCTTAAAGGCAAACGGAAAAGGAAAAGGCCAACGAACACATTACCTTGGGAATTGGAAGCAGACATGAAAAGGATGAATAGCAACTGGAAAGGACTGTCCACGACAGAGTTGGATGGAGAATGCTGGTGAGCAGCCTATGCTCCCCGACGAGGGGTAACAGGTGTAAGTATATATATTATATATATTACATTTCAGCAAAAGATAAACGACATTCAGAACAGAATAGTGGGGCTTACTTTTTCCATTGCAATAGAACGTCAAACATAATGAATATTGCTTAAAGGAATGAAGGAGATCGAAGAAAGTAAACAATAAAATGATAAAAAAAGTCATGATTAGTAGAGTGATAATGAATAAATTCAGCTACATGATTAGAGTTAACAATGAAACATCTTACTGGAAATCTCCAACCATAGGTTACGATTATCTTGAAGATTAAAATCGCGAAGCATACACAGTTCATTAGTTTGTTAGTCAGTAACTTTATGAATTTTCTTTTGAATACCTCTAGCTTTCTTCTAAACTATATTTATATTCACTGACTGATCATTTGATATATTCATCTGCTTAATATAGATATTGCTTATTGTTGTTAACGAATCATCTATTGAATATGATAGAGACTTTTAAAATGAAACATCTAAACTATATGAATTTGTTGTTTTAACAAACCACACTAGCCACCAATATTCTGTATTAAGTTAAGTGTAAGCATCATCCTGCTAAAATAGTTCATTTCATTATTCAGGTAGCTAGTTTTCATATAAATGTACATTATCTTGATAGTTTGGCAATAACATATTTCTGTGAGGTTTTTAATCAACGTCTGTCTCCTTCAGTTTATGTGTCATTATATGTAGATGTGAACTCCGCCTGGAGCCCCTCTGGGGCTACTGCGGGTCACAAGACTGAATAAAGGAGGAGGGTCGGGTATGGAGTTAGCGACCCGTAGAAGAATAACTCGCTAAAAAAACGCAAACCAGAGAAAAGAATTCAAACAGTTTAAACTCTACCCTGGGAGTTATGAGGTCTTCATTTAGAAGTGTTATGACGCCTCATGGTGAAAGTCGATTTCCTTCGGAAGTCAAGAGGCTTTTACCTCTTCTAACAACCAGAACAACCATTAATTTAGGTACATGGAGTACATGTACAATGTAGGAGATCGGAAGAGTCATCCAAATTGTTGGAGAAATGAAAAAATACAACTTGGAGTTGCTTTGAATCAGTAAAACACATTAAACGCAGGTTGGACAACAAAGACTAGCTTCAGGGGAGTCGCTGTTATACTCCGGCCATAAAGAAGAAAATGCTTCACATACACATATGTAGATGTGACTCAGATCATCTTAGGCTTTTATTGCTAGCAAAGAAGTAAACTCGGTAGTAACTGTATTAAGATGAGTAAGCAAATATTCTACTATTTATAAATCTAAGTCATTACCTCCTTTAGATATAGATTTCAACTAGATTGTGTAACTGGTAAAACAGTCAGTTAAAAAAAAGTATTTCTGTGAAGAAATATGAATTGATATTGTCCAGATCTATTATATTCTCAGTGAAATAGAGTAGCTCAGTAGTATTTCATTGGCACCACTGATGCTAATTATTTGAATCATATTTATCTAAACTTTATTAGAATAATCATAAACTATGATTAGCTCTTGAAAACAGATTTGGTTTGTACTCTAATAACTGAATTTGTGTATTGTATCATAAATTTTCTTTTGATTTTTATAGATTTTAGCTTGGCTTACACCATCTGCACGATGTTTTACGAGTCGCAATGAACGAGAAAATTCTCTGCAGAATTGTAATTCATCCGGAATTCAATATGCATTAAATCTTAATCGTGATCCGCTAATGATAACAAGGTAAGAGTGAATATGTTGTTTTTTTGCAAATGCCTCTGTAAAATTCAATACTGAAGTCTAGTTGATTTAGGTTTATGGGTCAAACTTCCTCAATCATGATTCAATATTTTCAACACTTATCATTAAGGTGTAACTAACGCTGTTTGAGTTGGATGGTGAATGCTGGTGGGCAGTCTATGCTCCTCCACGAGGTGTAACATGCTTAAGTAAGTAAGTAAAGTAAAGTAACGATGCTTGTACAACAACGTTGAACGTATCGGTAAATGTATGGCTTCCTGTAAGTTTTGAGGCATGCAAAGATCATTAGATCGTATACTATATTCCCATGTATTTTGACGCAATAACTCATTTTCCAAAATACCATCACTATTATTATTTCACATGTCTTACTGAATAATGAAAGAAAGATTTATTAATATTATCAAAGTTGAAGTAATACAGTTTATAATAACGGCAATCAAAAATAGATTCATTTGTAAAATGATTGTTCCAGATTTTTAATTTCTCCATTTACAAATCCTGAGTAATGTTCCACTTTGTACAGTGAAGCGCCGACAGGTAACTTATCAAGTTTATTACAACACGCGTTTAAAGCGATGCCAGTTAATGTTTCGGAATGATACGAACTAGTAACAGTTCCAGTTGAACTGGAACTCTAACAAGACGTAAATAGCAACTCGATTTCAAAATACGTCAAATGGGGTTGTATTGTTTTTTTAGTGAACAAGAACACAAGTGAGGGCAATTGAATGTATTCAAACACAAACTTACAGCACATGTAAGCGAAATCCGAGATCCATACAGTAACGACAATTGATTGATCACTAGGTGGTGATCAATGTCATGTTTGTCAAGTCCTTCTTAGTGTAGATCGAATGCCATCGAACAGGTTGCAATGTAGCCACTAGTTCAAGTGACTCGATATTGTGTGCACTATGTTGAGATAAGATGGTGGTTGGAGGTAGTCAACAGGAAACCCTGGACCCAAGTTTCGTGCTATTTGGCACTCGTCATTAAGGTGTACCTGTAATGTTGAGGGAACTGGTGCACCCTGACGGGTTCGATTCCGTGTCACCCAGCTTCACGTTCAGAGACGTTACCACTGGGTTATCCGTTCCGCGACTGACCTCCTGTAGGACTGAGATGTAATCACAATTAATTGATCACTGGGTGGTGGTCAATGTCATGTGTGTCAAGTCCTTCTATTTTGGTTTAGTTTTTCTATGATCTTTTGCAGGAGGAAAAAAGTTTCTTTTCTAAAGTCAGTATATATGACGCTGATCTTCTAAATCCTACTTATTTATCTTTCATTTCAAAATACTATTTTTGTTATTATTTGAACACCTAAACATTGGTACAAGGGGGCACCAAATATGTATGTGCCACACAACAACAACGTGATCAGTAGTAGTTGTCATTGGTTTATGTGAGAGCTGTAGTGCTGCCCGGACGCCCAAACCAAAGCAGGTGGTTCTGTTTGAGGGGGAGCATGTCCGGAGCCTTTAACCTGAATATCTAATCCACAAGACAATAGAGCAACTTTAGTACATGCAGTTCCATGGTAGCCGGTGACCAACAATAGGTTCATACGCCTTTTGTTCCTTCAGGATCATGAAGCCCATGTGAACCATTAGTTTGCAATCAGGATTTTCCAACTCCCAACTCTTTCATATCTGTCAACCTGGTTAATGCGTCGAATATTCTCTTTTCATCCTCTCAATTTCGTAAAGAATAGTAATGTCTCGAGACGTCAGTGAGTAGGACAGTGGCTGTATACGCGTGTCCATGCGAGAGCATTTCGAGAGAGAGAGAGAGAGAGAGCGCCGACTCTCCCCACTCTCGGCCGTACCAAGGCATGTTATGACCACACCATTTAGTGATCTACTCACAGAACATTGAACATTAAAATTTCGAGTATGCATTTTGTTTGACTCAAGAACTAACAATTGATATATGACTTATTAAATCAATGTTGCCTATTCTTTTTACTTCACGTTACAAACTTAATTGAGAATATAGTTTACTAAATGGTTCTAGACAACTATTTGAATCTCATATACTACTGATAAACCTTTAAATAAATAAATAAATATATCAGATGGGTATTTGTGGAGATTGTAGTAATTTCAATGGTTAAGATCATGAGTCAGTTGCAGCTAGAACACTATGGATAACCTGAAAGCACTAGACGGCCGATTCGTCCTATTGTGGAACTCCTCGACAGTGCGCACCCACCATCCCGCTTTCATGACTCGAGAGGTATTACCTGGAGTTCCAGTGAGAAGCTGTCACCAATGGAGTTCAACCGAGTCTGTTATGAAAAAGTAACTCATTGAAGACAATGGTGGATGTGTTGCTCAATTTTGTGGATTACTTGAAGTTAGATAATAACACCGTTGAATGCCAGCTTAGTGGTGTATAAGTTAAACGCTCGCGCATGAGACCGATGGGTCACAGGTTGAAATCTCGCGAGGTGGAATCGTGGATACACACTGCTGAAGAGTCCTATGCCAGGACGAAATGGCCGTTTAATGCTTGCAAGTTAATCATGATGGTCTAGCTTCAATTAACTCATGATCTCAACTATGATTTATTTCAAAATTTGTACTTTGTATTTTCTTTTTCTTCTATGATTTCTTCCTTCTTTTCTCTCGTTTATTTCTTATAGACAAAAGTCAAATAATAATAAATTATCATCATCATCATCATCAGCTAATCAATCGTATCATCAGAATTCTACTGATTTCTCATTGAATGAAATAGAAATTGATGAAATGAATCAAGTTAAATTATGTAAACATTTAACACAAATAAATTTGAATGAATTAAATAAACAATATACTACTGAAATAATAAATAATAATAATAATAATTACGATATTCTATCAATGATTAAAAGAATTAATAATAATAATAATAATAATAATAATAATAATAATAATAATGGCAATTTATTAAAAATGAAAAATTTAATTTCACTTAATCCTTCATATAATTCACAAAAATCTATGTTGAATAATAACAACAATCTAAAGGTGATTACGGTTCATTAATTATTATTATTATTATTATTACTATTATTATTATTACTATTATTATTACTACCATTAGTCAGTCAGTCAGCTACAACGTTGGACCAGGCACATATATGCATCCGTCCATGTTGCCATACCTCATTAACACAACAAGATGAACACCGAATTCATAGAAGTAGTCACTTCAATGATGGTAATATATAAAAGAAAGATTGCATATGAGGACATAGTACAGGAAGAAAGAAGTAGTTCATGGAAAGAAATATATGAAGCGATTTTAATCTCACGGTTTGTGGGAAGATAGACAGTATATACACCGACGTCATTGTAATCGATTCCGAGCCATGTCACACAGAGTCTCCAACCATTGATTACAATAGTCAAGTAGACCCCAACCAAGTAATCTGCATCTTTCAAAATGGTTCAGTCTAGAAGTTATTGACTTCAAGCACTAATGTCACGTTTTGGTTTGGCCGTCCCTAATTCTCATCTAACCATCTCTAACACCCGTTAGCATTGCACGTCGTGGTAAACGGTGTTCGCGCATAGGTAACACGTGACCCAACCATCTCAGTCGATGAAGATTCACAACCTCGTCAACTGATTTACCATCATTCCCTAATACCTTGCGTCTAACCTCACTATTACTTACCCGATAATCCCAGCAGATGCCAGCAATATTTCTAAGACATCTGTGGTCAAATACAAGTAGCTTACGAGTATCTTCTACTCTTAAAGGTCATGTTTCGCTGCCGTAAATTAAAACAGAACGAACTGCCGCGCAGTATACTCGTCCTTTTATTGATAGACGGATATCTCGCCTTCCCCAAAGGTGACGTAATTTGGCAAAAGCCAAACGAGCTTTTCGAATCTGTGCTGAGATTTCGTCCGATACCAACTCATTAGGGCTGATCAGACTTCCAAGATAAGTGAAGTTGTCAACGCGTTCAACTACTTCACTTCCAATCCTTAATGCAGTTGTTGACGCAGACCAATCCTGAAGGAAAAACTTGCATTTAGAGGGTGAGAAACGCATTCTGAACGTCCTGGGTACTTCTCTTTAAACAATTATGTAATTTGCATCCGAGTTTACACGCTTTTACTTCATTAGAATAATACTAAACTTTTGATGTTATCAAAAGAAGTGGTTTGGACAGATTTCTTTTATTGAAAACACTTCCGACAGATTTTTCTTTGTTTTTTGTGCATGAATGTTTATATTCTACAGAAAGATTCTTTTATGATTCAATAATTACGAAACATATTAGTAGTATATATTCTTCTTTTCATTTCTACCAGATTCCTTACCCCTATAAACCATACTCCAATTATTCACGTCAATTATCAAATGATGAAACTGATCAAAATACACATTAATTTACGAATACATGAAGATAATGAGTTAATTTCAATGTAGGTTTCGTTTTTTTTTAATTTCAAATGAAAACCACATGACAACAATGATGATAAAATAAACGAAATGTCTATTTTGTGTATGTGTGTGTGTGTGTAGTTTTTCTATGTACTTTCTTGAATTGGTTCTTAAAATCAGTATTCTTTATCATTTTAATATTTTAACATAATGAAATAAATTGTCGTTTGGATATCATATATTTGATTCTAATATGCTAAAACTGTTACTTATATCGATTTAAGTAGTACATAATGCGAGTCAGGAACAGCAGGAACAGCCAAGTTTGAGATGATTGTTTAATATTTTGCAAATGATGTATGGTTGAGAGCATTCGATCTGCACTTAGAAGGAGTTGACACACATGACATTGATCACTACCCAATGATCAATCAATTGTGATTACATCTCAGTCCTACAGGAGGTCGGTCGCGGTACGGATAACCCAATGGTAACGTCTCTGACCGTGAAGCTGGGTGACACGGAATCAAACCCGTCAGAGCGAATCAGTTCCCTCAAGATTACCTGTACACCTTGCTGATAAGTGCCAAATAGCACGAAGCTCGGATCCAGGGTTTCCTGTTGACTACCTCCAACCACCATCTTATCTCAACATAGTGCACACAATGTCGAGTCACTTAGACTAGTGACCACATCGCAACTTGTTCGATAGCATTCGATCTGCACTAAGAAGGACTTGACAAACACGAGATTGATCACCACCCAGTGATCAATCAGTTGTGATTACTGTATGGTTCTCAGATTTTACCTACATGTGCTGTAAGTTTGTGTTTGAATACATTCAATTGCCCTCACTTGTGTTCTTGTTCACTGAAAAAACAATACAACCCCATCTGACGTATTTCGAAATCGAGTTGCTAATTACGTCTTGTTAAAGTTCCAGTTCAACTGGAACTGTCACTAGTTCGTATCATTTCGAAACATTAACTGGCATCGCTTTAAACATGGGTTGTAATAATCTTGATAATTTACCTGTCGGTGCTTCACTGTAGAAAGTGGAACATTACTCAGGATATTGATGTTGAAAAATGTTAGTTTTATCCGATGATCTATGCGTAAGTATGAACTAAAACACTCGGTTTATTATTTTATGTAAATTCAAGATGCATCTGATATCGACAATCGCTTTGGACCCAAAAGGATGCATATGGATTTCCAGGCAGAAGATTAGTGGGTTGTTTGCTGTTTTAATTAGTAATATGTCTTAGTGCCTCCAAACAAATGATTCTTAATAACGGCTTACGAAACAGTGACTAATTATCTTTAATGCAGAGTATTTGTAAAACGATTTTTAATTCTGAAGGCTTAACCGTCATGAAATGCAAGTATTTATACCCATAATCACGATTGATCTAACACGAGCTTGGTAATTGACCACACTGATAGGGATTTCTATAAAAGTGTGTTATTAATCAACCACAAGCATCTCCGAGATAATGTTGTTCAGGTTTCGTATCTGCTTAACGTTTTAGCGAGTTAGTTTCCTACGGGATGGGGTCGCTAACTTCATGTCCGACCCTCCTCCTTTACCCGGGCTTGGGACTGGCAGTAACTTTAGAAGGGCTAAAGGCAGAGTTAATCCCTTTACATGCCTGGGAATCATCATCGATGAACATGAAGGATAGAATGCAGACGTAAATGGGAGGATTGGGAAAACAAAGGCAGCATTTCTACAATTGAAGAACATATGGAACTCAAAACAAATTTCAACCATCAGCAAAGTCACAATCTTCGATACGAACGTAAAAATAGCCCTACTGTTTGGAGCTGAAACTTGGAGAACTGCCACAGCCTTCATCAAAATAGCGCAAGTATTTATAAACATTTGTCTACACAAGATACTGAATGTCCGTCGACTGCATACCATCAATAACTGTCTACTGTGGGAGAGAACAAACCAGCTTCCAGCTGAAGAGGAAATTAGGAAAAGACAATGGAAGTTGATAGGACACACATTACGGATATCAATAAACTGCATCATGAGGCAAGCGCTAACTTGGGATTCCGGAGAGAAACATAAAAGAGGAAGGTCAAAAACTGATGCTTTGAGAATCGAATGCAGACATGTAAAGGATGGATAGCAACGAGAAAGGATTTTTCAGGATACACTTCAATGGAATATTCTGGAAAGTGACTTATGCTCCTCGAGTTGCAACAGGCGCAAGAACGTAAAATCTAAAGTTTACTATATCATGGTATGGTAGATAGTTCCATCGATTTTAAACGTTTTAAAAATGAAATACTACCGATTTTCACTTGGTTAATCATGAATCACATGTTGTCTGTCACTGTAATCTAAGCTTTGTACAAAATAATCATTTTATCTTAATTTCGATTGTTGGGCTCATGGCTATCAGTATATCATACTTTTGCTGTAAGGATCAGAGCGGTAGAACACCATGCAGCCGCACGAATAAGTTAAAAATTTACCGAACACCATCTAATTGTTTACTACAAATTCTACCTTTGAAGCATATATGTTTTGCAATACAGCCCCATTTAAAACAAATTTCTAAGTGCCATTCAGATCCTTTTCACTATTTCAAGCATTTATAGGACCTAAAAATGCCACGTATGTTCAGGGTTTGAAAGCGCCTTTGGCCTTTGCAATTTCCTAATCGAAAGATACTAGCTGATTAAAATTAAAAGTCAGAAATTGAAGAGTTGAAAGTCATATTTGGAAGATGATTGGTGTGTTGAGAAGCGTTTGATTCAAGATGGCTAGTTGTTGCTCAAGTTGCGTAGCATGTCGTACTCAATCTTGATGTTGTGAAGATACGTGTTCTGGCACCTTCGCTAGGGTGTTCTCCGAAAACAAGTGAAGTCAACAATAACGTCGAAGACTTACAGTACGATATACTTCGGGGATTTATTTCTTATTACATACCACTCCACCCATAGTGGTGTGGTGATAACCCTAAGGCACTGATAAAAATTGACACGTAAACGTTATTTTGGATTTTTACGAAACGTTTTACACATATGTGGACATGTAAATAGACCAACATTTTTGTTGCTGACACAAAAAAAGAACTAAGATTTAAAGCAAGCAGTCGTTGGACCTAAAACCCTAGATTAAACAAGAACTAATAAAATCTCTTGCTTGTAGTATTTATTCAGGTGTTCTGGATAGCTTACAATTTTTCCCACAGCACATCTTCTGCTGGTTGTCGTATACCGGCAAAATTCCAAATCTGTCGTTAAGTTTTGGGGATTCCATCTTAGCCATGGGACTTGCATTATTCGATTGTTTACTGCGAAGGCAACATAGATGCAATTTCCTCTTAAATAACCACCCTTAATCTATCGTTTCCAATGTTGTCGTACGTTCTGTTCTCATCAACGGTATAGTACTTGAGTTTGCTATCAGGAGCTCTGTAGGGTTCTTCATGCGCAGTTCTTAGGGGTCGGCTTAATAAGTCGCGTCGTATAAAAATATCAGTTGATTGCGGTTGAGTGGATGTAGGTTTAACTGAACCCATCACGACAATAAGCCCACTCGTGTGAATGTTTATACCCATATTCAGTGAATAAGATTAGAGTCTCACAAATCCTCCTGAAATATGGAGTGTCGTCTTGTAAACGAGTTGTGTTGCAGTATACTCAGCGTCAGCTATCACCTCATTGCGAATACCTAGTAGAACGAGTATGAGAACGTCAGTTCATCGTGAAATGCTTGCAGCTGGAGGCAAAGTCTTCAACTGCTGAGGAGATTCTTCTACCAACGCATTAGCTTGTGGATAGAGGGTGGCCGTTTGATATTATTTGATTCCTAGTAGTGTATTGAGACAACAAAAATCTCTGTGTTTAGACTAGCGCTAATGATCTGTCGCGTTGGTTGGTTGACAACTGAAATTTGCTATCAATCCATCAATGAAAGTACTTATCTATGTTTGAGTAATAGTTTTGTTGATAGGTTCTGTTCCTAGCAATCCTGTTAAATGGTTCACACACATTAGGAGATAAGAATATTTATTCGGATCTAGTAAGGATCCTACTAAATCAAGATGAAAGTAGTGGAAACAAACGTTAGGAAGGGCGAAGGAGCCCAAAATATATTTCTTGCGTCCAATCAACCCATGTTTCTAACAGCTTGCGTAAGAGAGTGTTCATACTAGGATAGCAACATCATTCTTAAGGTGATTCCTCGAACATCTGAATGAAAACGCTTGTGCAACGTGTTGGAGATACTATTTTGATAGTGTTCTGGCACGACTGGGAGATCCCGACCTAAATTAAAGACTCAGGGTTATTTGATTATACGCTTAAACTAAGTCGGTTGCCAAAATAAATTTCCATGTAGCTGCCAGGTCGTGGATGCGTGGCAAGAAGCGACTATCGGAGACTCTTTTCGTATTTGGTCATCATTATTCATTATTTAGACACCTATCATTTCCTTACTTTTTAGCAACCATGTGCAGAGGAGATACCCAACCTAACCTAAAGCCAGAAAACGAGGTCCTACAAACAGATATTTCAGAATTTCCGCCTTTTAACCTAAGTTTCTATGAGTCGATAAGTGGATTATGTTGTATTAGGAGGTCTTTAACAATGATTGATGTAGAAAATCTGTGGTAATGAAAATCTGGCGAATACTTCTGCGTAAACCCACATAAGAGTAAACGTATATTTTGCCGCATACAGTAGTCGGTTTTCCTTTTGTCTCATGAAAGTTGAAGATCGGATCTTGTAGATGGACATTAGTATTCGAGATAAAAACGCTAACATTGGTGTCAGTGTCGAATAGATTACAAACTTTCTTCACATCAGTGGTGGACAGCAGATGAAAATGTAAATCGGCTACAGATGCTATTATCGCGTGCCGGAAGTTTTGATGTTGGGGAAACTACATTGTTTCTCGAAAGTTCTGGAAGAATTACATTACTTGTTATGGCACCAGCGCCAACCCCGGCTATCTGTATCCCGTGGTTTAGAAACCGATCTTTGCAGTGAAGGGATTCTAGAGGGAGCTTTGTAGAGTCTGTGGTCGTGGTGAATGTAAAGAAAAGTAAATTTATTGCAGACATGTGCAATGCCATTTTTTGTCTTTTGAGGCCTTTCATTGACGAAACAGACCTCAGTGTTGAGTGTTCCGGTGATCGCCAGAACTCAGTCGACAAATGCATTCAGTTCGTTTACGTCGTAACTTTGGAGTAGGATAAGAACTACTTTTACCTTCTAGGAAACCTCATATAAGAAATGTCAAAACAGGCCATCATCGAAAGCCCATTGAGCAATGAACTACCGTATGCATAGCAACACTTGTTGCTGAATCGTGTTATAATGTACTACTGTAGGACATGTGGTCTACATTTTGTCAGTCTACTAGGTCTACGTCTAAAAATAACCTAGTTTGCTGTGCTATAAGATTCCGCCAAGTAACTAGTAAACATACTAGGTGTAACGTAACCTTTGAGATCGCTCGGTAATGACTTCTCTACGACGAGGAATAACGCTCGTGGATCTACCACACTGTGCTCGTGTAAGTGAAATTCTAGGTAGTAGAGCTAGGGTTTGATATTACCAGACCAGAATGACATGTTTTGAAAGGAGGGGTGTAAGATTTTTTATTTTTAAAGGTTTTGGTGTCCGTTTCAACGTTATGTAGATAAATAATACTGATAGGCGAGAACGTTTGAGATGCATGGTACGTCGTATTAGATCGTAATTTGGTGCAGCTATGTGACCGAGCGCCTTCAAGTTGAGTGAAACCAATAAATGTGATGAAGTCGACATCGATTTCCAAGACTTACGGAAGTATTTATTTTAAGATTCATTAACCGTTACAGACGGGATATTACCAATGTCTACTTCGTTTATGATAACAATAAAGTTTCCAATTGCTATACTTTAAATTCCGCTCGAAAAGTCATCATAATTCTGATTGATTAACTCAAGGCGGTTGTTTCATAATAGGTTTATCTTCAAGGTCGAAGTGATTAGCACACTTGTATCCATAATGGTGAGCCATAGGTGATTTGGAGTTTGAGAAAATATTTTCTGCTTGAATTGTTGCAAGCTAAAAAGTGAAGGAATTCGGGTTTTTCATTAAGAGGATTCACATCAACAGACATGTAATCTATATTTCATCGCCCCAAGCAACCGAAAAAGGGAAATTAAGGGGTAAATGCTTTGGTAGCGAAAGGGGAAATAAAGGGGTAAACGCATCAGAATGCCGCCTTTTTCGCCTGTCCGGGGGAAATGCTGCGGATTTCCTCCTTTTTGGCCGCTTTGCCGATAGATAACCGACTTTTCGCCTAAATATCCGCTGATAGCGCCATATGGCGATATCAGTTAGAATAATAATTCATGGTAATATCAATATGCAAGTGCAACCTTCCCATACAATCTTAGGATGCTTTTAAACAATGAATGATTTCCCTCATTGTCCTGTAGTGCTTTTCCTGGTTTCCTATATTTGCATGCCCCGAACTCCCAAGTTTGGGGATATTTTGGGGAAACTCCCGAAGTCAGATGACCTTCGCTAATGTTTGGGGAAGCTTTGGTGAAATCCCCAAAATCGAATAACCTTGACCGAGGTTAAGGAGGAATATTTTGATGTCCTCAGGTCTGGGGAAAATTTGGGGTTTTAATGTCATTTCCCCAAAGTTTACTATAGCGGCTTCCCCAAAATGGGTAAAATTTTCTCCGAAATTGAGAGCTCGGGGCTGGTTTATTAGTCGATTAATAGGCCAGCATGAAAATATGATATGGTCGTATCATAATGTTCCTTGATAAACAAGTGATAATTTTAGTATTCCGAGTACCTTCGTGTATGCATTTGTGCTGTTGGGAGTTCACTCCAACATCATGATGTCACCTATAACCATGTTCCTGTAAACACGCAGGTTTGCTGATCTCAACATTCTCGTTAATTTCGTCCTATAACGAGTTGGAACTCAATCTTTTCCATCCCGACTTTGGTATCTAGGTTCTATAAAAGGATGGTCAAGCTATTCCCTGGACAGTCCTGTGCAGTGGACAGGAGCATTTTAGGGAACTAATCTTTATCATATTGGCTGTTGTGATTGGTGAATGTATAGCACTGTGTGACGCTCACGGGAATCCTTCATTTCTTTTCAAGTATACTTTGATGGTACTGAAGTCATGAGATTCCCACCCAATAAACGTTCTTCTTGCTTCTTCGGAGAGAAAGTATTCGAGTACTCCACCTCTTTCCGAAGTTTGTCCTGATGATGTTGTTATAAAGAACAATAAGAGCTCTACGATCACGTCATCCAGCTCAAAGAATATACCTCTAGCCGAAATCATCCAACTGAGCTACAGGTATTCTCCATCATTGTCTAGAAACTCTATGCCCCCATAATAATCGTCGCCCTAGCACATATATTTATATATAGAACCGTACTTGAACTATGAGATGAAAATTGCTTCATATTTTTCTTTCTATGAACTAGTTCTTCCTGTACTATGTCCTTATATACAATCTTTCCTTTGTATATTAATTCCATGAATTCGGTGTTCATCTTGTTGTGCTAATGAGGTATGGCAACTTGGACCAATGCATATATGTGCCTGGTCCTACGTTGTAGCTGACTGACTGACATTTGAATTATGGGGTACAAACAGTAATTTTTGTCTGAAAATACAGAAAAATTAAAATGGGTCCGAGGGAAGTGGGCTATGACTGTATAATTGTTTACTTATTTCTTGAAACGAATGACTTCCATGTTTTAACTTCTCTTCTCAATGTTGTGTTAAGTTAACGCGTTCTTTTGTATTAATTTTTCACATGTTCATTTCGGTGTAATTATGTTTTGTTTGTGATCGTCTGAGATATTTCCAGGACAAAAAATAAGCACATGGATGCTCCTTTGCCTCACAATGTCATTTTCATTAGGAATTTCGTGGCAGATTTTGTGATATCAGCAAAAGTTATTGACGTCTTCAGTGTGAAATCGGGCCTGCACAACACTGGATTGCAAAGGCTGTGGTAGTTTTCTAAGCTTTTTATTTTGTTCCACCGAATGTGTACGTCTGTCAGCATATTTACTTGGTCAGGCGTGGTAATCAGGACTGATTATTTATGAGAACAGACTGGTAGGGAGGTTCTAATTTAGTCGCCTGACGTCATTAGCTCTGTGAAAGCGTTTAGCTCAAAATCAAATGTAAAACCTGCATTTGGTTTTACATATCTGTTAAGATCCAGTAATCCATACTATCCATGGCTTGTTGCTTAAGTTGTTTGGAGTATATCTCATCATTGCCCCGCCTTCTCGTGGCGGGGGTGTTGTTTGCGAAAATGAGAGGACGAAAAGCGAATGTCAGACGCTTTAACCGGATTCCAAACCAATGGTGCACATGGGCTCCAGTATCCTGCGGGAACAAATGGCGTATAAACCAATTGTTGGTCACCGGCTTCCATGGGACTGCATCTCCTTACTATGCTCCATTGCCTTGTGGATCAGACCTTCAGGTCGAAGGCTCGGGGAGTGGCCCCCTAAGATTCCCACTTGCTTCGGTTTAGGCACTTGGGCAGTAACACAGCCCTCACACATATCGAATGAGATTTGTGTGGTGCATATGTATTTGGTGCCTCCTTGTACCAATATCTATGTGGTAAAATAAATAAATGCCTGCTATTTTACGTAATAGCCAGGAGAGTCATCATTAATGGATAAAATTTCACATAAACCACCAGCATGTGGGAGATTCTTGCTTGCAGTTTATCTGTTGAAATTCGGCGTAGGTTCCTAAAGTTCTTTATTGAAACTATAAATCCTCATACTAGCTATGAACATTCATACTTGTAGACTCATGTATTCGACCTTATGCCACACTTCAGTTGTCAGGGTTGGTCCTACTAAGCAGCTACTCGAACTGAATAATGTGTGCAACTAGAGTGCTTTGGACACCTAGTTTCTGCATGTGTTGTGACTTGTATTTAAAAAAGCATCGACAGGCCTTTAAATACTTAACACCAGTTCAGTGGACGTCTATGTAATTTTCAGTAGCGATGCAAGATTTTGTCAGAAAAAAAGTTCATTTAACATGCTGCTCGTCCGAGGTAGTGTGTTTTCCGTCTAAAGGATGCTCGCTAGAATTAATGCTCTTTCAACAAACTTCTTAATCGTTTCAGATAACAATATAGAGCTTTTCCTCCATAATTCAGATTTTATCACCGGAAAGGAAATGTGGATGTAAGGGAATCCGGAGTTGTGCAATATGTGACAGTGAAAACGTTCACAAAAATGTACGATAAAGTTTTCTAATTATGATGTTCAGGAAGGACGACAGCTTTACGAGTTCACATTTTGTCCTTTTTGCGATATGGCAGTCGTTGAAACAAACACCATGTCAAAAGAGTTTCATGTCCATCAAGGTGGCTTTCCTTTCCTAAACATCGAGGTTATTCGAAATTTTGTTGACGAAAATGAAGAAGCAATGTTGGTCGAGGAGATCGACAAACAAGCATGGGTTTTATCTCAATCCGGGAGGAGAAAACAGGTATGTATATTTTATCCTAAATTTCTATCATTTTGTCACCGAAATCTCGGTCACTATATATCATTAATCTTCAGCGTTACATATATATGGCACTAGTAGTGTCCTGTCTGAGTAAAATATATGTTAAAGTGCGACTATATGAAGGGGGTGCCTTGATAGTTATTACTTGATCTTTTGTGCTTTATATGGCCGAGTTGTGAACGCCGTTAATTCTGGGAAATAGGACTTTCAACAATAAGAAAGTAAAATTTAGCTTCGCGTTCATAATTCATATATGTTGTAATGAAGACTATATTTTACTTGCGTGAGATCATCATATACACATAAGAATTATAGCTAAAATGTAATTTAGTCAATAAAAGGTCGAGTATGACTAAATCAGGGGAAAAGTTAGCCTTGGAGTCATTGATTATCAGTATAAGTCGTTTCTGGATGTGTCTTTTCGAAGGGTTTTCGGAAAGTGAGGAACAAGTAGCGGAAAATACGCCTTACCATCAGGCAAAGACGATAATTAGATAAAAACGTAAACTTAGTACTTCAGACAAGGGTGTATCAATTTAAATTTCCATACTTAATAAATCCAGTAGGCATTGATTGATCACCTGTATCTTCTTCAGCAGCCGTTGTCTGGAATAACTGAGATGTTACCTAAAATAGGTAGTCTAGTTGATTTGTCTTTCCATATTGTAGGAAAGGAGTTACCCTTGTGATGATCCGATCAACTGTAACTCACCTCATAAAGTATATAAAAACTGTGGGTCTATATTTGTTCAATACCTAGTTTATTTACGAAGGGAATCAAATTAGGGAAGGCAAGAAGCGTTCATGGTCAGTTGGCAGCGTACTTATACAATTATAAAGTATCATCACATCCTTAGTTACTGATTATTATTATTGGCGTTTTAATTCATCGTTTGTTGAGTGTTGTGGTACTGTCGATAAATGCGAAAAGCATCATTCCGGTCTACAATGCTTTAAGTTAATACTCAGAAATTTGTGTGATACGTTCGTGAGCTATGTTAATTTTTTGCAATAAACCGAAAGAGACTGCTTTGTCCTTTTCTTTTCTGTCTTGCTAACTAGAGTAAAATGACCAGTCTCGTAATGTGACCCTTGTTGATGACCTCGATAAAACTGTTGAACTTCCGCTAGTGAAACTTTCGCAGTGCAATAGTGCGCTATGTAAAATAGCTAGTGGAAATGAAGCATGTTGTGATAAATTTATAAGATCTCTAACAGATTATTTACGTTACTCAACACTAGTGTTCCTTCAGTGTAGGTGAAGTATGGCAACTTGGACCAGTGCCACATCTTCAGTCTAGGCAATAACACAGGCCAATCGTGAAGCAAAATCCTGTTGTTAGAAAGAAAAACGCATCCAAAAGATGCCTACGGTATTGCTCATGGTCTTCAAACAACTATGAATTGCGTCAGTGTCTTCAATCCTTTGTGTTGTTCCATCTGTGCCATTCATGTTGGTTGTTTCATTTTCAGAAACGAGGTCAATCATTCAAAAGTTTCATGAAGAAATTGAGACTTGTAAGAGGTCATCTCTTACGAAATGGGTTTTCGAGAAATGGGATAGTAAGTAAGCTTAATGAACACTTGAAGTTGACAGTTCGCCTTGAGCTGTGATCCGACCAGTTGTCTGTGGATATAACGACTTCGGGATTTCTACATACTTCTTCAGTGCGCTTTTCTAATCACAAACAGTGAATGCTTGTACAGATTAGTTAGACTGTTCTTAGCTTCCTTCTGATGTACTCCTACTCCAATGTCTTCTCGACCAACATAGTTGATTGGTTCTTGATTTCGCAAGTAATAAAGGTTAAGGATAATTTTGTGTTCTTACTCCTCAACAGAATATTTATTAGTGTTAATTCTTCACGTCTTCTGACAATTACATCTGTTCTTCTTATCACCTCTTCATTGTGTCATTTTGTCGTTATTAATCTCCTCTCTGTCTGTGTTTCCGGAGCCAGCTAATTAAATCGATGGGTTCACGCAACACGTTCTGCTATGTTTCAGCCAACAATGTTGTCAATATTTTTCTTAGTGTGATGTTACTGCATTGAAATGTTGACATTCAGTCTATTCATATGAGTTTGTTGCCAAATGTTGTTTTAGGATTATGGACCAAAAGTGAATTTCAAACGACAGAAGGTGCAGATCGGAGGATTTGATGGTCTGCCAGCATATTCTAGGTTCCTCATAACACGTTACAATGATTCGATTAAAGAAAGCAAATCTCTTCGCCCTGAATTTCTCCCAGTGGAGTTATGCAACCTGGAGTATAAATCAGATCGTGGTGCTTGTATTGTACCGCACTATGATGATTCATGGTTGTGGGGTGATCGATTGGTGACTGTCAATTTGAGTGGTGCCACTTATTTAACTTTCACATTACCGACAGCTGACGTGGTGGATGGCATAAACCACGAATTTCAACGTGTTCAATCGTGTGTGCCGAATGTTTCTCGGGGCTCAGTAAGTCTACTGTGTTTTCAATAGTACCTCCCAACTGGATTATTTGTGGTCTCCTTAATTAGTACTCTGTGATGTTATTTTGTAATGTAAAGGTGTACTGATAAGGATTCATCTGTGCTTGAGTCTTGTGTTCAGACGTGTACTAAAGAAGATGAAATTCATGTTTTGCTGTTCTGTGTGTTTGTCTACGAAGATTCGTAACTCCGATATCACACCAGCAGTGGTTTCAACTTCCAAACAACGCACAGAAATCTATTTAAGATAACTCCGCCTGGAGTCCCTCCGGGGGCTACTGCCAGTCCCAAGCCCGGATAAAGGAGGAGGGCTGGGCATGGGGTTAGCGTCGCCATCCCGTAGAAAACTAACTCGCTGAAAAAACGCTAACCAGAAAAAATTATTCAAACCTTTTAAACTCTGCCCTGGGAGTCAGAAGGTCTTGATTTAGAACAATTATGACGCCTCATGATGAAAGCCGAATTCCTTCGGAAGTTACGAGGCCGATGCCCCTTCTGACAACCAGAGCGACCATTTATTTAGGTACGTGGAATGTTCGTACAATGTGGGACACCGGGAGAGCCTTCCAAATTGCTGCAGAAATGAGAAGATACAACCTAGAAGTACTTGGCTCAGTGAAACACATTGGACACAAGTTGGACAACAACGACTAACTACAAGAGAGCTCCTGTTATACTCCGGCCATGAAGAAGAAAATGCACCACATACACAAGGAGTTGCATTGATGCTGTCCAAACAAGCACAAAATGCGCTTACAGGATGGGAATCACATGGACCAAGGATCATCAAAGCCTCGTTCAAAACAAAGAAAGAGGGCATTTCAATGAACATCATCCAATGCTATGCGCCTACCAACGACTACAATAAAGACGCTAAAGATCAATTCTACAATAGGCTGCAGTCAATCGTCGAGAAGTGCCCAACAAAGGACCTGACCATTGTGATGGGTGATTTCAACGCCAAGGTTGGAACGGACAACACTGGATATGAAGACATCATGGGACGACATGGACTGGGAGAAAGAAACGAAAATGGTGAGAAATTTGCAAATCTATGTGCCTTCAATAAGCTGGTCATAGGCGGCATCATATTCCCACATAAACGCATACACAAAACCACATGGATTTCACCGGATCACTCTACACAAAACCAAATCGACCATATTTGCATCAACAAAACGTTCAGGAGGACTATAGAGGACGTGAGAATCAAGAGAGGAGCTGATATAGCATCAGATCATCACTTGCTGGTCGCCAAGATGAAATTGAAACTCAAGAAGCACTGGACAACGGGGCGGACAATATCACAAAAGTTCAATACGGCCTTTCTTCAGGATACTAACAAACTCAACAAATTCAAGATAGTCCTCAGCAACAAGTTCCAGGCCTTTCATGATCTACTCAATGGAGAAGGAACTACTGTGGAGAGCAACTGGAAGGGGATCAAAGAGGCAATCACTTCAACATGTCATGAGGTCCTGGGTCACAAGCAGCACCATCACAAGGAATGGATCACTGTTGATACACTGGATAAGATTCAAGAAAGAAGGAACAAGAAGGCAGCAATCAATACCAGCCGAACAAGAGCAGAAAAAGCCAAGGCACAAGCTGAATACACAGTAGCAAACAAACAGGTGAAGAGGAGCATCAGAACCGACAAACGTAAATCTGTGGAAGATTTAGCAACGACGGCGGAAAAGGCTGCAAGAGAAGGAAACATGAGACAATTGTATGACACGACAAAGAAACTCTCTGGAAATCGCCGCAAACCAGAACGACCAGTGAAAAGCAAGGAAGGCGAGGTAATCACCAACATTGAAGAGCAACAAAACAGGTGGGTAGAACACTTCAAAGAACTGTTGAATCGACCAGCTCCACTGAACCCACCCAACATCGAAGCAGCACCCACGGACCTCCCAATCAATGTTGGCCCACCAACAATTGAAGAAATCAGCATGGCCATCAGACAAATCAAGAGTGACAAAGCAGCAGGACCAGACAACATTCCAGCAGAGGCACTAAAAGCAGACGTAACGGCAACTGCAAGGATACTACACTTTCTCTTCAATAAGATTTGGGATGAGGAACAAGTACCAACAGAATGGAAAGAAGGACTTCTGATCAAAATACCGAAGAAAGGCGATCTCAGCAAGTGTGATAACTACAGGGGCATCACTCATCTCTCAATACCGGGAAAAGTCTTCAACAGGGTATTGTTAAACAAGATGAAGGACTGAGTAGATGCCCAACTTCGTGACCAACAGGCAGGATTCCGTAAGGATAGATCGTGTACAGACCAAATCGCAACTATACGGATCATTGTGGAACAATCAATTGAATGGAATTCATCACTCTACATCAACTTCATTGACTACGAAAAGGCATTTGATAGCGTGGACAGAACAACACTACGGCGTGCCTCAGAAGATAGTCAATATCATACAGAACTCATATGATGGATTACACTGCCAAATTGTGCATGGAGGACAGTTGACAAAGTCGTTCGAAGTGAAGACCGGTGTTAGCCAAGGTTGCCTACTCTCACCCTAACTCTTTCTCCTGGTGATCGACTGGATCTTGAAGACGTCAACGTCTGAAGGGAAGCGCGGGATACAATGGACATCTAAGATGCAGTTGGATGATCTAGACTTCGCAGATAATCTGGACCTCCTATCGCAATCGCAACAACAGATGCAGGAGAAGACGAACAGTGTGGCAGCAGCCTCAGCAGCAGTAGGTCTCAATATACACAAAGGGAAAGGCAGGATTCTCCGATACAACACTGCATGCACCAATGCAATCACAATTGACGGAGAAGATTTGGAAGATGTAGAATCCTTTACGTATTTGGGCAGCATCATTGATGAACAGGGTGGATCTGATGCAGATGTGGAAGCGCGGATCGGCAAAGCAAGAGCAGCATATTTACAACTGAGAAACATCTGGAACTCAAAGCAACTGTCAACCAACACCAAGGTCAGGATTTTCAATACAAATGTCAAGACAGTTCTACTGTATGGGGCAGAAACCTGGAGAACTACGAAAGCCATCATCCAGAAAATACAGGTGTTTATTAACAATTGTCTACGCAAAATACTTCAGATCCATTGGCCGGACACTATTAGTAACAACGTACTGTGGGAGAGAATAATCCAGATCCCAGCGGAGGAAGAAGCGCTGGAAGTGGATAGGACACACATTAAGGAAAGCACCCAACTGCGTCACACGACAAGCACTCACATGGAATCCTGAAGGTCAAAGGAAAAGAGGAAGACCAAAGAACACATTACGCCGAGATATGAAGATAGACATGAGAAAAATGAACAAGAATTGGATGGAACTAGAAAAGAAGGCCCAAGACAGAGTGGGTTGGAGAATGCTGGTCAGCGGCCTGTGCTCCATTGGGAGTAACAGGCGATGATGATGATTATTAGTTTGGAAAATACGATGTGACCTGTTGTTTGAACGGTTATCGTGATGTCTTTTTCTTTTACATACGTTTAACGCTTATTATTTTGAATAATAAGTTGACCGTAGTAAATTGAATATTCCACTTATGGGAGATTTATATTACAAGGCTTTGATCTGCATACATATTTAGAGTATTTAAACGTTGGAATTTCAGATCTATTTAAGATCAAGATTTTCGATAATTAATCTTATAGTTTTATCCTTCATAATAATTTTCTGAAAAATTCTGGGGCTCATTTTATTATTGAAATATATGGTTGTGTGTTGCCAGTTTTTATAGGTTTGGGCACCCGGGCAGTATCCCAACTCACACACAAATCAAATGATCATTACTACTGAGAAAATTCTTCTTGTTTCAACTCTTATTCAGACAAATCATATTCACATAAATAAAAATAATATATTTGTAATATCCCAATGAGTAGAAAATTGGATTTTCTGACGTTTCGTGGCTTAGTGTAAGTCACTTCTTCAGAGAATAAATAACCAAACTAAAATTAATCCAAGTTTAAATAGTACAACGGAACAATGCAAGAATAATATTTGATCAATCAAAAAACAGGTCTGAACAAGTTGATGTCATGTCATTTCTGTCAAGGTGATTCATAAGTGATATGTATGTAAATTTGTGATGACATGACATCAACTTGTTCAGACCTGTTTTTTGATTGATCAAATATTATTCTTGCATTGTTCCGTTGTACTATTTAAACTTGGATTAATCTTAATTTGGTTATTTATTCTCTGAAGAAGTGACTTACACTAAGCCACGAAACGTCAGAAAATCCAATTTTCTACTCATTGGGATATTACAAATATATTATTTTTATTTATAACAATCAACCCAATGCTCAATTTATTCGAAATTATCAAATCAAACCTTGGTAATGACACCTACAAAATCATATTCACGATCATTTGATAACATTCATTTTTATTTTTCAACTTGTACAGCAGCTCATATATGATGGAAACCCTGTCCTATCTAAACGATCTCATGTCACTGACTGGTCGACAATTAAATGCTACCACCGACTACGAATACTGAACCAGTCTTTTTGAAACCACGTATACCATTCAACGTTCGCACACTAATACAGATCGGACATGTAGGGTTGGTTATGTCTTTAGAAAGTCTTAACATCGATGTCTGTTATCTATCTGAAGCCTGTATTCAAGACTCAAGTGAATTACAACAAATTGGCTCTCCATCTGTCGCTTCGAAAAGCCTGTTTCACGTGCGTCTATCCGGGGACCCTATGGCATTTTCGTTTAGTTTTGCTGAGGTTGGTGTCACACTGACCACTAGAGCTGAGGCAACACTAATCGATTGGATCTCCATTAACAGTGGATTATGTGCTGTTAGATTAGAAAGCTACATCAAAGTGAGAAACAATCTATGGGGGAAACTATATATTTTCGTCAGATTGCAGCCCGAATGCCATCAAGGATGCATCTTACCACCAATCAACAGTTCTACAGAAAGTGCGTTCGATAGGTACTGGTACGGCCGAGGGTGGGCAAAGTTAGCTTTCCTTGTCGAAATGCTCTCGCAAGGCCACTGCCAGAGAAGTCCTACTGACTGCCTTCTCGCCGCGGTTTCCGAAATTGAGAGGACGAAAAGCGAATGTCTGGCGCCTTAACCGGGTTGGTAGATATGGAGGATCCCCCTAGGGAAGTTGGGAACGAATGGCGAATGTACCCATGTTCGGTCACCGGTTACCATCGTACTACATCTGACGTTGCTCCACTGCCTAGTGGATCAGACCTTTAGGTCGAAGGCCCGGGGTGTGGCCCCCAAAGAAAAACATTTACTTCGGTCTGGGTACCCGGGCAGTATCACAGTCCACATACAAATCAAGTGACTTGCGCGGCATATATGTATTCGGTGCCCCTTCGTACCAATATTTGTGTTCAAATAAATAAATAAAAGTAATAGCCGAGGACATGATTGCTCAGGTTGGGCGTCTAGGCATAGAAGAGAGTCGTTTAGGTGGTCGATGGCCACTTGTTGGTCGTAGATCAGATAACGGTGACCGTCTATTGCAACTATTCGTAGACAGCAACCTGTTTCTGGCTAGCACTAACTAGTGGCATAGTCGTTGCCGATGTGCCACCTGGCGTCCTCCCTCTGCATCTCAAGCCTGGACTCAGATTGTTCACACGTCGATTATCTACTGCTCCTTTTGGAGTACCTACTCTGATCATACTCTCGTTTGAGCTAATCTTACCTTACAATTCAGTGGCAAACAAATTCATCGTCCTAAACTGATCGATATCAAAAATTGATTGCTGCTTCTGTTGCAATTAAATATCAAACAGAGCTAGGCTCAAGGCTACCTATCATCCCACCGAAAAGTATAGATGAGCACTGGTTGCAATTGCGTGACGCAATGAAAATGGCGAGTAAAGTCGCTTGTGGTTTCGCGAAACGTCCTGGTGGCTGCGAGTGTGGCAATTGCCGAAGATTGTGTCGTAATGGAATTGTGCAAACCTCGTGTAAGTACTAAGAAGCCTGTTGGTTGGAGCGTGCCAACGAGTTGAAAACTGCCGGATGCTCTTTCACTGGCAGCAAGACGTCTAGTGTGAGTGAAACAATCTGTGATGACAGAATGCTGGCCAGTAACATCTACTGACAGCTCGGACGATGGGCAGAGTTTTTTCAAGGAGCAGTTCAGTTGGTCTACTGCCCCGGCGACGTCGATCAGACTGTTCTGCCCTCCAACGAACGTGATGACTGGTCCACCTAACAAAGAGGAAGTCGACCTTTTGGTTATGGAACTGACTGATTTGTTTAAAATAATCTGGCAATTAGAGAGTGTTCCAACATCATAGAATGAGTCGATAGTTGTTTCTATCTTTAAAAAGTGTTCATTTCGTTTCTGCAACAACAATCACAGGGATAGGTCTACTTCCGATTGCGTCCAAACTATTGGCTTCCGTCATACTTCGTAGGTTGTTCAAAACCCGAGAAAGATTGACTCGCGAGGAGCAGGCTGAGTTTCGTTCTGGTCGAGTATATATTGATCATATCTTCACCCTCCGCCAAATGTTAGAACACCGTCATACTTATCACAAGCCAACAACCGTAGTGTTTCTTGACATCAGGGCTGCCTTCGATTCGTTGGACAGGACTGTTCTCTGGGATTGTCTATTGAAGAAGGGTGTACCTGAGAAGTTTAATAACATCGTAAATGCCTTATATACAAACACCTCAGGCAGAGTGAGGGCATACAACCACCTCTCTCCATTGTTCCATACGAGCAGTGGGGTTAGGCAGGGTTGGCCAATCTCACCATTCCTCTTCAACTTTGCCATCGATGACGTTCTGGAAACAGCTCTGATGGACGTAGGTAATGGTGGTGTGGATCTTTTACTAGAGAAAGACTTCTCGACCTTGAGTATGCAGATGACACTGTCTTACTGTGCGATGATACCCAGGTAGTTATGGTATGTGTTCTGCACCTTCGAAGTGCAGAGTACTTTTACAAGACTGACAGAACCCTGAACCTGCACTCAGCCTGGGTAGTGAGCAGATATAACCAGTCAAGAAGTTCGCGTATCTGAGTTGTTTCTGGTGGTGGCGTGAGTAATGAGGTTAATTCACGTATAGTAAAAGCCAGAGCGGCTTATTCCAGCCTAGGTCATTTTCGCGCCTTCGTGATGTTAATGTGGCTGTAAATGGTCGGATCTACAATACGTAGATGATAAGAGGAACGAATGAAACTACTGATGATCAGTGTCTTTATCATGATTAAACATCTCTTACGGAAATTTTCCCGGTTTAGCGATTAATTAAATAAACTGATTGTTTAAGCCTTATACCAAACATGATCCAAGTTGTTTACTTCATCCGAATAACATCGGTTGTGATATAATTGTCAAGTAATCAACACTATCCTCATTACAATGGTTATGAAGATTGTATAAGCAATTTATGAGCCTTATTATAATATTCAGGAACTTTTTTTTCCTTTCTGATATACGTTTTTTATTTTGTAGCTTTGCGTACGTGTGCTGCTGGACAGACGTTCCCTTGTGGTTGTTAGTGGACCTGCACGATATATATGGCAACATGAAATTAGACGTTCAGATATACCTATCCGACGTATTGCTATGACATTTCGTGAATTGAGTAGTACATTTTCTCCCGAATCAGGTAATATGACAGACGAACAAAAATTCGGTAAGAAACTCTTGGAAATCGCTTCCACATACGCTCATATGTGAAATAAAAAGATGAAATATACAACTGTGTTAATAACAACTAACAAATATAAACTCTTAACGTTTTTCATTAAACTTAAACTTGACAAACTACACTCACAAAATCGTTCTATTGAAGAAACGCACCAATAGTGATGAGGTTGTTTGATACGAATGGTAAAACATCCAATAAACTATATAATCTCTGTTCCTCATAACACTCAACTCTTTCAGTTACAGGATCATCAAGCTCCTATAAATTCTTTTAAGTTATGTTCAGTAATATTATACTTAACAGGAAAGTGATTCTTGAAAAACTCCATACAATGAAGCCCAAATGATAAGTGAACCAGTATAATATGAGTTAATGTTATTTCATGCTTTCTCTTTAGTTGCCTACAATCGTATTCGTATCAAAGTGTAACATTGAGATATAATAATAACAATACAAAATTATAGATATTGGCAACGGAATAGAAAAATGGTCTACAATTATTTAAAAAATTCTATACGTGAAAATACGCGGTCACATTAATTCATTAAGAAGTGTGTCAAAACATATGGATTTTTTTTTAAATATGATACAACATAGAAGAAAGCTTGCTTTGTACATCTTCGCTTTAATAAAGATGAATTTATTTGAAACAATTATTGACAAAATAAATGAAGCAATAAAGATCGCTTATTCAGTAGCAAGGTTAGTCAACTGACATGAAGTAAACTGCTCCCTTGAAAAAAAGAAGTCGACAAGTCTTCTTCTCTCAGTACCTCCAACTACATTTATCTATCTATATCTACGTCCAAAAGCGTAAATATACATATATATTCTCTAACACGTTTCAAAGAATGCGAGACTACAACTATTTGGCATCTAATTAGTAGCAGCCAGATTACTGACATTTACCAGTCTTTAAAAGCAATGCAGCTTCATAATGTTTCACTGAAGCAATAACAAATATAAGAGTTCAAACTGGATTTGTTTACAGACAGAGAAATATCAATCTACTACTGTGTTATATTCGGTCGTCGCGATTGTTGTGCCGGAAAAAGCCGCTGATCACTTATATTCGGAACGAGGGACTTCGGCAATTCCCACGATGTGAAAGTAAGAACACAAAGACTGGTATAAGTGATTATTTATTAGCCCCAAACACAATGACGACGATGATGTTGATCAAAATAGTCTAAAATATACTGGTTTACATATTGATTTTACACCCATTTTGATTAATAATTAGGATTAAATCACATACTCAGTTAAAATAAATCACTTACTGAGCATAGTTCATGTCAATGGAATACAAGATTATCGTTTATTATACAGAATAAAAAGATCATACGGGGAAACAAAACCGAATACTACACTGAATGATCCTCATGTTGAATCAAAATGGATGTTGAATGTTGAACAAAACTCATCATAGGTAAATCAATCGAAAATTGATTTTTTTTCCATCATATCATACTGCCTTAGTAAATACATCTTTGTCAAGATCATCTACAATTACTGTATTTATTTAGCCATTCAGTCTTCACTAAACTAATTGTTATTTCATCTACGTTAAAATTATATTTTCATTCGCCTACTTCTTCATACTTTTATACACTCATATAATTTTGAAATGATGGAGAAGATTTATAGCTCAAGTGGATGATTTTGATGGAGCTCCACGACCAAACTATCTAGCTCATAGAATAAAACTCCACCAACGATTTCTGTACTTCATTTAGTTACTGCCTCACTCTATGTTTCTGAATCCCACCTTCGGATGACCTCACGCATGCCTATATATATTTAAAACCATTGCTACTCCAATTCTTTCCGTTTGTAACTTTATATTATTATTGTATCTTAATGTTATACTTTAATACGAATACAGTTATGAACAGTTGAAGGTTAAACCACAAAATAAAATGAATTCTTGATTCGGCCTCAATTGTTGTGTTTGACTTTTATTCACATAGTATACTATCTATGAGGTACAGTAAATAAAATAAATAATATTATCTTGATATTGTATTCTTAACACTGTAATTAAGCCATATTCCCCCCCCCCAGCAACTATTCTGTCTATAATTTTGGTCGTTTAATAATATAGGAACTTGTACAGATAAATTAGATGCTCAGTAGTTGTCTTTACAATTTGAGGTTTTCTAATAACTTTATCTATGTAATCCTTCAGCTTAATTAGGAAAAGTAGAGAAATTTGATGATGGTGATGAAGTGACGTAAAATATGATCTACCAAACACTTCTAGTGGATATTTAAAGTAGTAATGTTAATTGGATATTAGTCTGTTGGACCAAGATTAGAATTTCTGAGACAATTAACCATACCTCCCTCAACACTCAAATGAACCACATCTCTATTCATATGTGAAGAATCTAGAAACTGTAAATTAATCGTTAAACTCCTTCAAAGGTAAATTATTTGAAAGATTATCAAATATCTACATTAATAAAAGATTGGTTAATTGTCACTTTACAGTAAATTAAGATTTATGTATTACGGACAGTTATAAACTTACCATAAAATGTAAAATATCTATCTTTCATATTCATTCTTAGTACTATTAATGTTTCATCGGAACATCAAGGTCTCACTAGTGTCTTCTCTTTAAAAGAAGTTATAGTGTTTTATCAAACCAAAAATAGTGAATCAGTCCTTATACGTTAAGGTGATACGCTAGTGGTTGTATAAAGCGTTTATGAAAAGGTTTTTTTTTATTTATTTATTTCTAAATTAATGACGGTTAGTTATTTCTATATACATGCATGATTTTAGCATTATATTAACCGGTGAAAAGGCATGAATATCATCATTTTTATATGAATTCCTGATATAGTTTTATGCGTACACATCTAATAATTCACAAATACCTATTTTACAGCAGCCTAAAGAAAAGTCTAATTATCTTTTAATTATTAAGGCAAGTAAATAATACATCAGAGTAGAATCATTTTCACTTTTATTCAGTTGGCAATCAGTGTCCGTAGGTATGGTATGTGCTTTGCACCTTCGAAGTGCTAAGTATTTCTACAAGTCTGGCAAGATTCTAATCCTGTACTCACCCTAGATGGTGAGCAAAGAGAAGTAGTCGAGAATGTTGTTTATCTAGGTAGCTGGTGGTGGCGTGAATGACGAAATCAGTTCACGTATAATTAAAGCCAGAGAGGCTTATGCCAATCTGGGCCACCTTTGGTGCCTTCGTGATGTTAGTCTGGCTGTAAAAGGTCGGATCTACAACGCGTCGGTGAGAGCAGTTTTGCTCTACACTTGTGAAACCTGGCCTCTCCGAGTTGGGGATGTTAGACGGCTCTCTGTGTTCGATCATCGCTGTCTCCGAAGGATTGCTGACATCCAGTGGCAACACCATGTCAGTAATGCAGAGGTTCGGCATCGTGTGTTCGGGCACAGAGACGATAATGCAATCGATGTCACCACCTTGAAACACCGACTTCGGTGGCTTGGACATGTTCTACGAATGTCGTCCCAGAGAATTCCACGTCGTGCATTATTTGCCGACTCTGAGACTGGTTGGAAGAAGCGGAGAGGTAGTCAATGTATAACATGGTGTCGTGGTATGAAAGAAAGCTTCAAAGGGCTGGCTTCTGTTGGTCCTTCACGGCTCCCTTGCTGGGGTCCGAGAGATGGTGCTACACAGCGGCTAGAAACATTACCAGATATGGCTCAGAATAGAATCCAGTGGCGATCCTGCTGTAACCTTCTACCTTCATAAAAATGGTTGTAACTTCCTTAACAGAAAGACTTCTTCTGGTTGTACCTTTCCATCTCCCCCACTACTATTATTATTAATTTTACACTACCATACACTAATTTGTGGTCGTTATTGTTCTTTTTTTCTTATGCGCACCTTACATTCTTTTTCTCTTCCCGTTCTCATTTTTATTATGTGGTGCAGATATATCTGGTGCCCCTTTTGTACCAATATTTATGTGTTCAAAGAAATAATTATCAACTGAAATAGTAGACAATTTAGTTAAATCTGTTTTACTTCTGTTAATTGTAAGAAAAGTTGTTTTTCTTAACAGTAAGTGTGTGTCCATTAAATAAGAACTTCAATAAAATCTTATAGACAGACAGTAATTGTTTAAGTAATTTATTAATTTGCGTGGATTTATACTCATTACAATGTTGCAACAGTTTATTAAAATCAGAAAAGTGAGGGCACAACCAGTCAGTCAGCTATAGCGTAGGACTAGGTACAAATATGCATCGTTCAAAGTCGCCATACATCATTAGCACAACAAGATGAACATCAAATTCATACAAGTAGTCACTTCAATGGTGATAATACATAAAAGAAAGATTGCATTTAAGGATATGGTATAGAAAGAAAGAATTAGTTCGTACAAAGAAAGGTATAAAGCGATTTTAATCTTATGGTTTAAAGGAAGACAAAGAGTATATACACCTACGTCATTGTGATCGATTCTGAGCCATGTCACATAGTCTCCAATCATTGGTTACAATAGTCACGCCGACCCCAACCAATTAGTCTGCACCTACCAACATGGCTAAGAGTAGAAGTCAGTGACTTCGAGGACTGGTGCCACGTTTTGGTTTGGCCGCCCTTAACTTTCTCCCAACCATACTCAACACCAGTCAGTATTGCGCGTCGTGGGCACAACCACTAATATCTGTATTATTAACTAGTTAACAACGATACTTAATTACAAGTGTCATACATCATTCGAGAAAATGTTAGTCTATTAATCATCATTAACTTAAAACTTATTACTTCAAATACTAATTTCGATAGTTAAAACGAAACGGATTGATGTAGGACAAAATTTCAATCACATAGTACACAATATTAAAAGTATGGAGATAAACATCTGAAAGGATAAATAGGATCATTTTTAAATGGTTGTACGTATAACAGCTTTTTCTTCGAAAAAAAAACACGACTTAAAGACATATACAGTATAGAAAGCGTGGAAATTGTTTACATATTTTCAACGTTAAGTTAAAACATGTACAAAGAGAGTTAAACCTGTTTTCACGACATTATTATATTGTTCCATCAATAAGGTAAACATAATCTACATGAAGTTCCATCTTGCATGAATCATACCATTGAATTCGATTGACTGAGTCTGCGTACAAACTACAAAGTATTAATATTTTGTGGAAATACAAAGTATATGGGAGTAAATCAAGGGTGATAAAATAGATTAGAAATAGTACGCACGGACCGAAGTAAAGCACTCACTTATTCAAAACAAAAATAGTTAGTACGACACGTCTCATGCAAAAAGAAATGACAATTTTCAGATGATTGAAGAGATACATTGCTAAACAACAGTGAACTATTGAACAGTTCCCATTTTGAGACATATCTAGTAATGTCAGAAGTTAATTAAACGAATCGTAGTATGCTAATGGATCTTTATCCAACAGAGATATCCGTGGGTCAGCAGAAATACATCACGGAATGATTGTTTGTTCCTCACTAAATACGAGATCCAACAAATAACGCTTCGCATAAAAGTCACTGGAAGGTATGTGTGTTCAAACCATTTTATCAATATTTAGATTTATTAGATCGCGATTTCAACGATGTGAAGAGTTTCAGTGCATTGAAAGCACAGCCTAGGCAGAACACACCGAAAGATGCAAATGGACGATTAAAGGCTAGGTATATATATTATGTAAATGCTTTGTAACTTCTCACATTAAAAATACATTCTTCCTGCCTATTAACGTGTTTTACACAGGTATTTTGCATCTTCTAACTGAAAATTACTTTCGTAAAACTGTCAGGACCCTGTTTCTAAACTCATTCTTCGTGATGACCCGTTAGAAGTAATCAAATATATGTGTATCTTGGTTGTTTTGGTGGTGATATGACAGATGAGATCGACCTAGATAGAATAGTGTCATCTTGATGTTAGTCTGGCTGTAAAAGGTCAGGTTGGCAACGCGTCAGTGAAACGTGACTTTTTTTAGTTGAGAATGTTCATTGTCTCCCTATTTCTGATCAACATTACATCCGAAAAATTATTCATACCAGACGCCAACCCCATGTCAGTAATGCTGAGGTTCAGTGATGTGTGTCGCGCACCGTAACGATAACTCAATTGGTGTTACTACTTTGAAGCACCTGCTTCGGTGGCTTGGGCATATGTTCAGAATTTCATTACAGCAACATTCACATTTTGGATTATTTCTCGAACCTGGGACTGGTAAAAAGGATTGGATATACAAAAAGGAAAGAATATGTACGAGGAGATTTCAGGACTCAGATTCTAGAGAAAGACAAGGAGTGAGTGCACTTTCGTCTTTGCAAACAGTTCTGAGCGATGTCACCTAGTCTCTTACCATCGATTACGATAATCATGTGGACCCCAACTAGATAGTCTCCACTGTTAAGATGTCTGAATCTAATTGTCGATAACAGCCATATTAATAGATGTAGATGAAGTATAGAATAATAATAGTTGTCAACTGACAATGATGAGACGAAATGGATAATTTCAGTGTGACATGATTTTGAACTGCTCGTTAGAGAAGCCCAGGTTAATGACTAAATAGTTAAGTACACATCATATTCCGAAGCTGCTAGGTTTAGCAATCTATTAAGAAAAAAATATTAAGTTTGGACAAAGAGTCTATCTAGTAGTTTTCGATTTTTAGTCGAACTTCAACTAGTCAGCTGAAAATGGAAAATATTATGCTACTTCTAAACGTAGACTTACTCCGTTAATCCCGGGAAGCCATAAGATCCAACCGATTACAGGAACACCATACAAAAATTTGATTGCCACTGGGATAAATTTACTATAAAATTAAAGTGTATATGATCATCATTTGACATAAACAACTTAGTATGTTACGGTTAGTATTATATTAACACTTGATACAAAGAAGATGACAGACAACAGGTAAGCAGGAAAGAAAAGTAATAAGATAGCACAATATCTTTTGGTGACTATAAGGCTTGAGAAAATCCCGGAGAGCACAACGAAAATTACTCAAAAACACTGTATGAACCTCCAACAGTTACTCCTCGGACTGTGTGGTCACGCTCTTAGGAAGACATTAAAAGCAATATCAATTCGATTCTTTCTCAGTATTAAAAATACGATATCCTTTGTTAATGACGGTTACTAGGATGTGAAAAGTACTTGAAAGCAAAAGTCTTTACTGCTCACCGTAAAATCATTCTCAACCCCTAAATATTTGGTTTATTTGTTATTATCCCTTTTTCCTTCAGTTTCATTTGCTTACGCGAATACGATCAAAGTCAATTAGTCGAATATATAAAATGTTATCCTTGGTCTCCTAAGAAAAGGCCCTAAACTAAATATTAGGGCTTCCAACGGTCAGAGTGTCTCATATTGGATAACAGGTTTCATTAATCATACAGGAACCTAGCTAACATGGAGAACCAGTGAGACTCACTCTGTGTACTTGAATATTCGACATTACCTCATATTCTAATGGGTACAGATGTAGCGACATATTAGAAAGTAGAATGAACACTTTTCGACTGGATTCGTCGATAGTAAGAACTCAGGACGTAAGGATATACGCAGTTACCTCTTTGTAGTGATTGCTTGGCCTCTCACTGAAAGTATCTCCAATAAAATAAGAGGTGAGTGCTATTAAAATCTCTTCAAACTTCTAAAAGCCAGATGCCTAGACGTAGCAATTGTAAGGAGTAGTTTCAGAGCCTAAGTAAGAATGTTAAGTCAAGCTAAAAGGCTGGCGACTCCTGTCATCAATGCAATGGTAGACAGAATAATCACTACGATCAACTAGTGATGGAGTTTTGATAGAAGACTTTTTGTCTTAAAACGCGTGTCTGGACCTCGCTCATCGTCTATTGTGGACAAATTTATGCTTTAATGAACGCAGAAATATCGCATAAGGAGAACCCCAGCAAACTCAGTTTGAAGGTAGGAATTTCAAGGACATGCTTGAGAAAACTAACTAAACACTTAAAGCAGCATGAAAAGGATGGTTATCCTTAAGAAACCCCACATGATCTCAAAACAGTTGTATGAACAGCATTAAGATTTGCTAGCGATCTAAATCAAAAGGTTGGGGAAAGATAAAGTCCAGTAATCTCTAGTAAATATGTTTGGAAACCCATCTAAACAATTGACAAAAATTAACAAAACGCCAGGTCAGTGAACGTGAGAAGCGGTAGGGAATATAACCAAATAGAAAAAAGCAGCGAAAAACGAAACTAGACAGTTGACGCGACACCTCAGAGACAAAGATCAGAAGGTTGACGAAAAGTTTAAGTATCATGAAATGAGATGAAACCGTGATTTATTCAGACCATATGACTAGGATGAGGGCCAAAATAAGTAGGGGGAAAGTTTGACTAACTATCATTTAACCATCAGTCATTAACAGTCTATACGTGAGATCCACATAAAGGGTTTGACACTTAACGAAGGGAAAAAGCCATTACCTAATCTTAGGCAAGAGGAATAAGCAGGGTATAATGAATTGGCTCCAGAGGATTTTGATAATATTGGTAGGGGTGATAAGGATATTGAGTGCAGCTTGTAATCTGTGAGACCGAAGATTTCACTCTGAACAAATGATTCTAGCAGTTTTACCGATGGAAACTTACTGTGTTTGTATAGACTTCTATGGGGTAACTTAGCAATGTCCGTCTATCAGCAGATTAACAGCTTAGTCATGTTAACCTTAATATCTAATTTGAAGTGGCTTTCGTGAATTCTAATATTGAATAGAAAACGAATTAATCTACTGACATGACATTGATTTAACCTCTCTAACAAAAGTAGAGCTTTGCACAAATGCTTCAGCTTTAACTGCCACTGCTCAACAACTAATAATGCTTATATATATTTGACCCCGTTTTGTAGTCTGAATTAGGTGTACAGGATTAGTTACATAATAGCAAGAGTTCATCATAGTCCCACGATTTTTCTCCACCTAAACAGCCCGAAACTCGAAAGCAATTTTTCAAAGCACATAAACATACTAAGCGACCTGAATGCGAGGTTCAGTCAATGACAATAGATAGTAACAAAATGAATGAATAGTAGAAAGTTGAAAATAATAATACGCCTATGGCCTTTGCCAACTAACGTCACTTAGACACTCTCTATTATGTCAGACAGATTAGGAGTAATGTTAGGTGTTTGATTTCCCTAAATCTTGCAACCAAACAAGAAATGACTAAATAATTTAAGGGATCGAAGATTTAGATGGATATATTAGATTGAATCTTTATACGTGTCTAAGCTTAAATATAAAGCTAACAAGCACCACCAGCTATAAAATAAGTTTTTGATCAAAAATTTGTTCATTCCAAAATCTAGTTGTCGATCGTAATAAGAAAAAACGCGCAAAACTCACAACTTGAAGATTATTTCCCGAACTATTACCTGAATAAATTTATCATTCCATAAATTTCCAACAGCATTCCTATGAAAGGGAAGCCAAAGAGGACAACGGATATGCCCCCGAAGAAGAAAACTGCTCCTTTCAAACTCGTACGGCGAAAAAAGAATGTGCAAGCCTTCTGCAATCCAATAAGACATCCTATTCCGCCTAAGAAAAGAACCTTGAAGGAGCAGTCTAAAATTTTATTGAACACTTACATTACCTAGAGCCAATAGAGCACCGTCGAAGAAAAATAGAACACCAAGACAAAGAAAACCCACTCCAAAAGCAAGCAAACCTAGGCCGATCTCTAAGAAGAAATAAAAATGATGATAAAACTACTCTGAAAATCTGAAGAGTTATTATAACCCAGCATTCTAAACGAACCAAAGAAATGCTCAGTCCGTTTACGCAACTGAACGTGGATATAGCCTCTAAGAGGCCGCTCCTATCAACTCAACCTTGAAAACATATAATGTGTCCTGCAAAACAAAACGTTTATTCCTTGTGGACAAGTTAGCTCTGTTCGGATAATTTACTTAGTGAAGCTTGACAAAAGACGGCTTTCTGAAAAGAAGTAGACAAATAAAAGATAGACGTCATTATGACCGTTCAAACAGCAGGTCAACTCGTATTTTTTCAACTAATGAGTATGACTTTATAAAAAAGGATGGATGGTGTCTATCAGTAGAATCCAAGATTCGAGTTTCTTCTTATTTAAGATCTACCAGATGAATGTACCTGCGTCCCAGAGTTAATCCTAATTCTGGAACTCGAATCCATTACCGTTCGCTTAATTCACTTTAGCTACTGAGTCCTGATATCCACCTGCTTGTGTAATGGGGTGAGGTTTAAATTCACGTGGTGTTGTTTGTTTTCATCTTCCAATCGTTGTTTAAGACTGCAATTGATCAGTCTCTTGTTGGCATTTGTGCACCCTGTGTGGATTGCCTCGATATTATCTCAGGGACTAAGTAGATAAGGCGTTTGAAGCGAACGGTGCGGGGTCCGATTCTCAGAGTGAACATCAGCTCTAAGATGCATTTACATCCAGCTAAAGAGTCTCAAATAGGGCGAAACGCGACTCCTGAATTCCACTGCTAGCCACCACCAATCTTTGGCAGTAAAGGTTGTGACTCATGACATCGATGTGATCCGCACAGGATTCACAATTGCCGATAGGTGACTGACCAATTGCAGTCCTAAGCAAAAACAGGGAATACACAAATAACCAACACCGAGTGAAGGCACTTGATATAGCTTTGTTAAGCAGTATTCTTTGTGATATTCCAATCATAAAACAAGCCATGAGATTTTGGAATTTACTAATCAGCCCTTTAATTTTTCGGAAAATTATTAAGAAGGATAAAACTATGAGAACTGCATTACAAGACATCCAATATCAGGATAAATTGTCGAAAATCTTGACCTTAAATAGATCTGAAATTCCAACGTTTAAATACTCTAAATATGTATGCAGATCAAAGCCTAGTAATATAAATCTCCCACAAGTGGAATATTCAATTTACTACGGTCAACTTATTATTCAAAATAATAAGCGTTAAACGTATGTAAAAGAAAAAGACATCACGATAACCGTACAAACAACAGGTCACATCGTATTTTCCAAACTTATAATTATAGCTATGTTAAATAGATTTCTGTGCGTTGTTTGTAAGTTCAAACCATTACTGGTGTGATATCTGAGTTACGAATCTTCGAAGACAAACACACAAAACAGCAAAACATGAATTTCATCTTCCTTAGTACACGTCTGAACACAAGACTCAGGCACAGATGAATCCTTATCAGTACACCTTTACACTACAAAATAACATCACAGAGTACTAATTAAGGAGACCACAAATAATCCAGTTTGGAGGTACTATTGAAAACACAGTAGACTTACTGAGCCCCGAGAAACATTTGGCACACACGATTGAACACGTTGAAATTCGTGGTTTATGCCATCCACCACGTCAGCTGTCGGTAATGTGAAAGTTAAATAAGTGGCACCACTCAAATTGACAGTCACCAATCGATCACCCCACAACCATGAATCATCATAGTGCGGTACAATACAAGCACCACGATCTGATTTATACTCCAGGTTGCATAACTCCACTGGGAGAAATTCAGGGCGAAGAGATTTGCTTTCTTTAATCGAATCATTGTAACGTGTTATGAGGAACCTAGAATATGCTGGCAGACCATCAAATCCTCCGATCTGCACCTTCTGTCGTTTGAAATTCACTTTTGGTCCATAATCCTAAAACAACATTTGGCAACAAACTCATATGAATAGACTGAATGTCAACATTTCAATGCAGTAACACCACACTAAGAAAAATATTGACAACATTGTTGGCTGAAACATAGCAGAACGTGTTGCGTGAACCCATCGACTTAACTAGCTGGCTTCGGAATCACAGACAGAGAGGAGATTAATAACGACAAAATGACACAATGAAGAGGTGATAAGAAGAACAGATGTAATTGTCAGAAGACGTGAAGAATTATCACTAATAAATATTCTGTTGAGGAGTAAGAACACAAAATTATCCTTCACCTTTACTACTTGCGAATCGTAAGAACCAATCAACTATGTTGATCGAGAAGACATTGTAGTAGGAGTACATCAGAAGGAAGCCAAGAACAGTCTAACTGATCTGTACAAGCATTCACTGTTTGTGATTAGAAAAGCGCACTGAAGAAGTATATAGAAATCCCGAAGTCGTTTTATCCACAGACAACTGGTCAGATCACAGCTCAAGGCGAACTGTCAACTTCAAGTGTTCATCAAGCTTACTTACTATCCCATTTCTCGAAAACCCATTTCGTGAGAGATGACCTCTTACAAGTCTCAATTTCTTCATGAAACTTTTGAATGATTGACCTCGTTTCTGAAAATGAAACAACCAACATGAACGGCACAGATGGAACAACGCAATGGATTGAAGACACTGACGCAATTCATAGTTGTTTGAAGACCATGAGCAATACCGTAGGCATTTTTGGGATGCGTTTTTCTTTCTAACAACAGGATATTGCTTCACGATTGGCCTGTGTTATTGCCCAGACTGAAGATGTGGCACTACAGTAGTTGCGTCGATCACTTCAGTAGGACGTTTTATCAAGCCGAGTGGATTGGCGTCTGACCAATTCTACAAATCGATCTAGAAATCCCACTTGGCTTTGATAAATTGCGTCACTTGTGTCGTAAGCAAAATACCCGGCTACAAACGAACGGATGAGTCTGTCGAGCAGGAATCCATATGTGAGGAACATGGTCCATGAAAGTAGAAGGCATGTGCAAACCGTAGACTGCGATCACAAGTGTTGGAATCACAGAGTCTAATACAGGTTTAAGCAACTGCTGGGACTAAAGATTACATAATGCGACAAAATTTAGATAACAGTAAATTGAGGATCGCGAGTAGATGCCCTTTCAGGAAATAACAGACGGAAATTAACAAACACTGATTCTAGGAAATAAAAGTATATTGATTGATATAGTTCTCGTAGTGGCAACTGAGTGGTAGAAATTATGGAACTATATAGACTGATTATATAGACTACGATTAGCGTCAGATTCCCAAATTGGAAGTTTTCATCTAGCTAGGTGACTTCAGTTAGTTGAAAATGGGATTCCTTTACCACGTTTCCCCCTGATCTATTTTCTACGTTAGTCAGCATTAAGCGTCAAAATAGTTAGTGGTTAACCATAAATGTTTCATCTAACAGGTCAGTGTTTATAAAGCAACTATGTTTTCTGCAACCCTAATGAACTACTGTTTTATGGAATATTTTGCAAGGTACAATTATCTATGTTCGTTCAGACATTCAAGCGTGCAAATTTGAGGACAAATCCCTTGATGCTATAGAAGACTCCACTTGGGTTACTGTAAACTAAGGATCCCAAAATTATTTACTGGTGGGATGCATATACAGACCACCTCATGCGGATACTAAGTTTGACAGACTACTAACAAACATATTATCCATTGCTTCGCATCAACCTCATACTTTTAAAATCATCGGAGGTGATTTTAATCTGCCAAAAATTACACGGGGCTTGACTCCGGTGCCAGGTCGATATAACAAGCTAGTTGAAACATTAGAAATTTGTGGATGGGTTCAACAGGTCCGAAAACCAACCAGGGGGAATAATACACTTGATTTAATGTTCACAATCAACATAGACTCTATCTCAGTGCATACCAGTCATGAGTTTTTTATGAGTGACCATAGAGTTGTATTGAGCATTATTCACACCCTCCAACATCAAGCAGGCCATAACTGCCCTGAAAAAGTCTTATGATGGCGGACCTGACGGGATACCTACATCATTTGTGAAATATGGAAGTAAAGAATTTCCACTATTTTGTTTGAAACTTTTCAATCTATCTATGGAATATGGGACCTATCCATCTGTATGGAAAACATCCCTTATCACCCCCAGATTCAAAACAGGACAACGTAGTGATATTATTAACTATAGGCCAATTAATTTGACATCCGTGCTCTCAAGAACTATGGAAAAAATCATCCACAAACAGCTACTATCATTTTTACTTTCGGCTGGTCTGATCAGCCCATCCCAACACGGGTTTATGACTAAACGCTCATGTTTCACATCGCACCTGGAGTTTTTTGATCAAATTACCCAGAGAAGAGATGTTGGTCAGTCAGTGATAGTTCTTTACTTCGATTTTAGTAAGGCTTTCGACAGTGTCTCACACAAACTTCTTCTTTTAAAACTCTCTTCATTTGGCATACAGAATCCCCTTTTATCTTGGCTCAAATCTTTTTTAGAAGAACGTAGCCAAATCGTTCGCTTTGGATCTTGCTACTCTAAACCTGTAAATGTAACAAGTGGGGTTATACAAGGAAGTGTGGTTGGTCCATTGCTCTTTCTCCTTTTTATCAATGATGTGTGTTCCCTCTTTCAGTATGGTAAGCCTTTCCTTTTTGCTGATGACCTGAAAGTAGTTTATTCATTCTCTTCTCCCACGAAAGAAAGCTATATTTCTGCGGTAATCCAGGAGGAAATAAACAAGTTGTACGAATGGACTTTTTCGTGGAATATGCCACTTAATGTTGACAAAAGCGGATTTATTCACATTGGTCGCTGTCTTAACTTAAATCTGACTGTACAGACACATACACTCAAACCTCTCAACACCGTTCGTGACCTGGGTTTAAGATATAGCAATAGTCTGAACTTTTCTGAACACATTATATCTCAAGTATCCATAGCTAGAAAGCTCATCGGATTGATAATGATAAACTTCAATAATATCGAATCGAGGTTGTTACTATACAGAAAATGTGTCTTGCCCATTCTTGAATATGGTATTTTAGTTTACAGTAATTGTAGACATAATGATCTGATTAGAATTGAAGGTGTTCAAAGAAAGTTCACCAAAGCTGTTCTGGGGTATTCCGATAACAAAGACTATTACCAAAGATGTCAACAACTCAACTTAGAACCTCTTTGGATCAGACGTATCAAATTAAATCTTGTCTTTATCTACCGGCTCATTAACGGTATTTCCTACTCATCGGTATCTACCCCTTCATACCTTATAATATCATCCCACAATCTACGCAATAAGGAGTATATTCTAGCGATTGCAAGAACCCACACAAACGTACGTCAGAATTTTTTCCTTATTCGCTACTCAACCATGTGGAACAGACTGCCAGTGAACCTCCGTTGCAGTGAAACTACAACCCGGTTCAAAAGTCTCCTTGACGATTTTCTTTCCGAAATTGGATTATGTCATCTATTGAATATCAATGTATTCAATAATGATTTATACAAACAAGGTCCGTCATTTATTTAATTGCTTGAAAAGCAAAATAAAACCTTTAAATCTTTTCACGTCTATTTTGTTTTATTTCTCTTTATCTTAATATATGAAGTCTGATTATGTTCGTGTTTATCATTATTACCGTTATTAATATCATTATTAGTTCCCCGACACATTAGATATTCTTTTTGTATCTTCTTACCCTTCTAAACATATTTAACTCCAGATTGTCCTTTGAAATCAATTTTGACTTTCATAGCATCAATCTTAATTATTATTGAACAAATATTTAAACTAATATCCGGTTTCACTCTGTGTACTATTACATAAATCTAAGTGTATTCATACGAGTGCTTTAACGGATTTTTATTTTATTTTTCTAAATTGTTGGTTTCCTTCTGAGGTTGATATTCATTACACAATTATTATTCTTATCATGGATCAAAACTTTTCACTAGGTGTTCACTTCTTTTCTCTCTTCTTTCCCTCTAAATAAATATTCTTAAGACTACGAAGTTTTTAATTAAGACAATAACTTGTGTTTTATCTTCACTATGCATATATGACTACTCATACATATTGATATTTTATTATCTTTTTCATTTAATTGAGACTTTCATTGCATCTCTCCACTGCACAAACATTTATATTCTAGCGTCATATCTTACTGCAATTATAAGTTAGTTTTTCTTAATTATTTTTTGTTACTAATTTGACGATATATACACAGTCGTTTGTTCGTGTTTTATGCTCATAAACACGCCAATTAAACTGTTTGCGTATTTCACGTCTCCCTTATTTCTATTCCCTTATTTTCTACATTTCCTTCATTAAACTCAATTCAATATTCTTTTCAATTACACAGACCCGATTTATTATTAATCATATTCTACTATTATTACTCTAATTTTTTTAAAATATGGCAAGTATAATGCGAACATTATTGAAAATTGTGTATTATTGCATTTTCTGAAGAAACCCGAAATGGTTTCTTCACAACACTTATGTACCCATAAGATGTTTGTGAATAATAATAATAATAATAATAGTTACGTACCATTAAAGTATGTTTTCTGCAACCCTAATGAACTACTGTTTTATGGAATATTTTGCAAGGTACGGGTAATCATTTGATTCATTGAAACCTAACTTACTTGTTTTCCGACGAACTGGCGAAGTACCTCTCTAGCTTCAAACACATAAGGTATGTCGTAAAGCGGACGAATACGACCACGTTGGACAGAAGAATCGTCTTCCTTGCTGCTGGTCTGTGGTCGTGGAGCTCTTATGCTGGATAGAAAGAATTTATGGACACCATCTGAACATTTGATAGAGACGTTATCACCGTTTCCGACTTCACATATCTGAAAAAAACAATACACATAGATCCAAGTCTTTTCAGCTAGAAACAGTGAGTCCTAAGTACTAAAATTAAGTCCAACCTGAAAGAGGCTCCGAAATAACATGTTCACAATACCATAGTTTGAAATGACATGACAGAACTGACACTGGTGCAGTAATTTTTTACCAGAATACACAGATAGTTAAGATCAGCACAATTTTCATGGTTTAAAAAAAACGATTGACAGCCTAAGTCGTTATTTACTTAAACTCGTAATCTACATCGCCATGTGCAAAAATATCCTAAAACGAAGGGGAGAATATGACATCGCACGAAGATGGCTGAGTTGCCAAGAGGGAACCAAAATAACGTTATCCCTATAGCCAAGGTCCATTTAGCTTCAGATTACTCTCAGTAGATACACACAAATCAAATTATCTGTGTGGCGCATATATATTTGGTGCCCACTTTCACCAATATGTGTCCAAATAAATAAAATAACAAATAAAGTTGGACGAGCACTCACAATTCCACTGAATATTTTCCCTGGAACAACTGTTTGAAGACTGTCTGCATGTACTTCCGTTGTTTGTGTGGGCTGGTAGTTTTCAAACACGCGAAGTCGCTTTTCTTTCGCAAGTCTTTCAGCTATTTTATAGGCTTCAGCAGCACCTGGGACGCTTACTAAGTTTAGATTCCAATCAATACAGTGAGCAAGACCATGACGCAGCAACAACTCAGCTATATTTCCATTTGGGTGGAGGATGCTTCCGACGAAAGTTTGATTAAATACGGATTCCAACAGTATAGTAACGTCTCTCTGTAGCAGTCTGGATTCGGTAAAGAATAGCGCATCGAGACCCCACGCGTCGGGAACCTATAAACCATGAAACAACGATATGCTAACTCACAATTTTTCCATCCTCATAACGTATCGATGGAGATTTAATCCCTGACATTGTGACAGTAACGTATACAAATGTATTTGGCTTTTCATTGAGGGATTCAGGTAGAATGAAGACTTGTACAGAACAACCATCTCGAACATTTTCGACAACAGCTTTAAGTGGTCGGTTTTTGTAGCTCTCAAAGAAGCTACGAGTATTCTCGACTGACCAAAGGATTTCTCTTGTAACAGGGAGGTTGGGAGACCAACGACCCTTACCAAGTGACTTTGCCTGTTCTTGAGCGGTTACTAGTTGCTTTTATTCGATCTACTGTGAAACGTTTACACCTGTGAGTTAAGCTTCTATCTGTCGATGAGGCTGTTTCACTATCCTGTTTGTTTGTATGTTGTAGGTAGTCGTTCGGAATCGCGTTATTCTTAAGAGTGTAAAATGCAACGGAAAAGCTCAGATTCAAACTGCTGTCCACGGTCTGTAGTGATAGTTCAAAGACAGACGAATTTTGCCATACATCGTTCGACGAAGTCAGGTTCCATTGCTTCAGCAGTAATGCATTTGATATGTACTACTTTTAGCCATCGTGTGAAGCAATCTACAAACGTTAAGAAATAAGAGTATGCATTTCAATCTAGTAAAGGTTCTACCAAATCTAGATGAACATGATCAATACGAGCATCGGAGGTTTTGCAAGAGACTAAGGGACATTTGTTTTGTCTAATTACCTAAGACTTCCAGTAGTATACCAAAGAGTGCACCCGCTTACTCACGTCATAATTTATGTGAGGTCGGCGTAATAGTTCTACGATGCGCTTGATGATTGCTTGAACATCTGTGTAAGAACGATTGTGCAACGTATTACAGACGTTGCGTTGATAAATTTTCGTCACGACTGGACGATTCTCACCTATAGACGAACCACATAGTAGACTCTCCTTACTCGCTCTAATCTGTTTGATCTACAGTTTCAGGGTTGTCTAAGATAACTCTTGCTGAATATATGTGTCTTCATTTTGAAGCTGTTCAAGGAATTCATAAAGATAAGGTGTCTGCCACTACTTTGTTCATCCTAGAAATGTATTGTATACCTTAAGTAAATCGCGAAGTACAGCTGAGTTGTCGCGACTCTATAGGGTAATACTTGTTTGTAGACGAGCTTAGCGGGAGGTTGAGAGATTTATGGTCAGTGAAAGGAGTGAATTCTCGGACTGCCACAGAATCCAGAAAGTGCGGCACAGCACAATGAAGGCTAGGAGTTCCCTACCAAATGTTTTATACCTCGGTCCAGTGTCTTGCAACTTTCTTCAGAAGAATGTGCACATACAAATCTGAGACCTTGAAGTACTTCGTCGACAAATCTCCGGAAAGTTTGTGCAGCATTACTTTAGCCGGAAAGCATTTGCGAAAGTTCGTGAGGTGATAGCGGCTTTAGGAGTGTCATTGACTGTCATAAGAATTTCGTTATGTGCATTAATCAGATTGGCTCTAGAGACACCGACTATCCTTTTTAAGATAGCTGTCAAATCGTGAATGTGAGGCAACGGAAAACGAACGTGAGTGGTATACGCATTCAGTAGCCAAGTGCAATCAGCTGGATGTAATCATTGCTGCCCTTTTTAGGGACCATATACAGAGAGATGCCCATGGGCTGTCTGATGGCTGAATAATTCCCAAATCTGTCATGTGCTGGAACACGTCTATGGCCGACCCTAGGTTTTCGGGAGCTAGTCGGTGCGGTTTCGAGAATAAAGGTTGTCCTGTAGTCGTGATGTGATATGCAACATCGCCGGTCACATAAGATAACTTTAGTGGCGTACGGTTTTGTTCAGGGTGCTTACTAAGTATCCGTTGATAGAATGTGTCGATTATGTGCTTAACAGTGAGTGGAAATAATCTAGAACCAGAGGATCAGTTTACACAAACAGATACTTTAGTATTACCATATACTAACCTCTGTTAGCATGTGTCGGTTATTAGATTACAGTGTTGTAGCAGGTCTATACCAATGATTGTCATAGAAACATCTGCAACAACGAAAGTCAAGTGCATGAGTTTGTGTAAACCCATGTCAGTATACACATATCGCTTACTGTAAGTAGCAATCGGCTTACCATTTGCTGGTTCGTACAGTCAATCGTAAGGATTCTCAGGAAGAACATCAACAACTGCACCAGCGTTTACGAGATAACGAAATGTTTTTGTCACGTCAGTGATGCCTAACAGACAACTGTGTGTGCTGCTTACGGTCGCCATTAGCGTGTACCGTCGAGGAAGTTTCCCGAGAGGGTTTACGTGATGGACGGTGCGGGAAATTGTGAGGTTTTCTGCAATTTCTAGGGAGGCTACCATACTTATTACTATGCAAACACTAATAAGGATAATCTGTTCCCCGTAGTCCAGTTACAGATCTTCTTCTTGACGAGCTTCTTTGAGGAGTTCGGGAACGTTTACTGTTATGATGGATATTAAATAAACGAGTAAGAATATGATAGTGGTCTTTAACACCGTTTTGTGCTGTTTGAGTCTTTCCCTTGCGCAATACATTTCAAACAATCAGATCACACATATACTTGTTAAAAGCATTTTTATATGGAAATTAAAAGGTCAGTTGGACAGGTTAAAGGTAAGCCATAACAAAGAAAAAATATTAAAACACACAAAAATAATGTGATTGCCACTCTGGATAATAAATCAGTATTACCAGGGTAGGTTAAGTGTAAGGACGAATTGTTTTTGAACACATAAAGTGTTTTCGATTTCCTTATAGCCAAGGCTTCAATACGTATACATTAGTATACGTCCTTGACGGCTTTTGTGTAACACTACAAATGCTGATTTGATGTCAACCTTCTGACCAGTCTCGATCAAATGTTTCTCTTCTGTTATGACGGGATAAGATTGATTTACTCATTACGATTTTCATTTCGTTTAATTCAATTCGATTATCACTCGGTATAGTACTTGTTTCGTTTACCCTAATGACATTCTATTCTATATAACATAAGACATTCTTATATGAATTACTCTTCACATTTGTGATTTATTCTAATTATTAACCAAAAATGGGTGTACAAACCAATATATAATTGAGTGTATTTCCGAATAGACTGGACAGAACTGCTTGTGCTTCTGGTTGCTTGCAGAATATATTTTCCCGTTTTAATCTTGGACGCATCAGAATAGTTAGCTTATTAGTTTTTGGTCACAGAGTTTTGTTGCGTTCATAGACTAGATGAACTCGTATTCGCTTCAAACATGGCAAACATAGTTTTTCCTTTGGGATGATGAACCTCAGCGTCGAGGGTCATTTTGATCTCCGGTATCCGGTCGGTAGATGCAGCCAGCTAACTTACAGCGTTATTTTGAAATGAGATGAGGAGTACATGCGCCTGTTAGGGAAGCTAAGACAGAAAGAGCTGTTCAAACAGGTCCTTGTCAAACGTCCATCGGTCTGTCTGATTGGAGGTTTAGCAACACAATAATGTATTCAAATCGTTAGTATAAACAGTCGAGTGGATCTCCTACAAACTGAAAACATCACTGTCGAATTTACCCCAACATTGACAAAGGTTCAAGCCGTCACCTTGGACATGAGTTAGGAATGTATTCTCATTGGTTGCAACTTGTGTTCTCTCTGGTAGTCACATGAGCATCACTCAGTTATTATCATCTTGTAGGGATTTATTTATCCGGAAGCATTGTACAACACCATAGTGTCTAGATTTGCGGCACATAGGCTTGGTTGATCTCAACATTTCCTAATCACTATATTAGTAACAATTCGTTTTCCAACTTATGCGAAACTCAATACTTGCAACTAACTTGTATGCACCATCGGCCGGTAGATATGAATATAAATAAAATTTAGTCTGGAGCATGTCTCTCACGAATGCACCCATATTTATCGAGTTTCTCTTAGCTATCTGTTCAAAATGCACACAACTGTCATTATTTTCACGTGGAAGAACTTTCGACAACTTACTTACTTACTTACGCCTGTCACTCCTCGTGAAGGAGCATAGGCCGCTCACCAGCATTCTACATCCAACCCTGTCCTGGGCAATCCTTTCTAGCTCCGTCCAGTTGTAATTTATCGTTTTCATATCTGCTTCTATTTTACGACGCAATGTGTTCTTTGGCCTTCCTCTTTTTTGCTTCCCCTCAGGATTCCAAGTTAGGGCTTGCCTCGTGATGCAGTTTGACGATTTGCGTAATGTATGTCCTATCCATTTCCATCGTCTTTTCCTAATTTCTTCTTCAGCTGGAAGTTGGTTTGTTCTCTCCCACAGAAGGCTATTGCTGATGGTATCCGGCCAATGGATGTTGAGTATCTTGCGTAGACAGCTATTTATAAATACTTGTACTTTCTTGATCATGGTTGTTGTAGTTCTCCAAGTTTCAGCTCCATACAGTAGAACTGCCTTGACGTTCGTATTGAAGATATTGACTTTGATATTGGTTGACAGTTGTTTTGAGTTCCATATGTTCTTCAACTGTTGGAATGCGACCCTTGCTTTGCCAATCCTCGCCTTTACGTCTGAATCTGATCCTCCTAGTTAATCATTGATGCTTCCAATGTACGTGTAGGATTCTACATCTTCCAGAGTTTCGCCATCAAGAGTGATTGGATTGCTGTTTTCCGCTTTGAATTTGAGGACCTTGGTTTTCCCTTTGTGAATGCTGAGGCCTACTGATGCAGAGACTGCTGCTACACTTGCTGTCTTCATCTGCATCTGTTCGTGTGTACGTGATAGGAGGGCCAGGTCATCTGCGAAGTCCAAATCGTCTAATTGATTCTGAGCTGTCCATTGTATTCCGTGTTTTCCTTCAAATGTTGAGGTCTTCATAATCCAGTCGACCACCAGAAGAAAGAGGAAGGGAGAGAGTAAACAGCCTTGTCTGACTCCGGTCCTTACTTGGAATGCATCTGTCAGCTGTCCTCCATGCACTACTTTGCACTGTAGTCCGTCGTATGAGTTCCGGATAATATTGACAATCTTCTCAGGAACTCCGTAGTGTCGAAGACGTTTCCATAATGCCCTCCTATCTACACTGTC